GCTTCTGCACCATGCAGAATGCCTGCTGATGCAGCTCCTGAACTGAATGTTGTCAGTCAGCAGTGGCCAGCATACTGTGCACTCTTGAAGGCTCTTGAGGGCAACCCAACCGTTTGTGCTACATCGCCCATCTTTTGGGGAGGTGTCGCTGGTGTCTCCATCACGTGGGTACTGGGAAGGGAAAACGGTCAAAACATCTCAAAACTCCTCCACCAAATTAAAGAACACAGCAACAAAAATAACGACTATATATATATATAAAACAAAAAAACATCAAAAACATCACCTGCAGGTGTTCTTCCTCCTCTCTTCGCTTCGATCTCTTCCCTCCGACACCCGAAAAACCTCCGGATCACCTGCGCGCCGCGATGGGCACGGCGATTGGGGAGATGCGGTAGAAGCTGGAGACGCGCTCTCCTGCGATATATCGGTGCAGCGGCGCTTGGTCATCCTCCTCGGGGTGGTTTATATACTGCAGGAGAATGCTAGGAGTATACCAAATACCCGGCTAGGATTGGATACAGGTGGATGACAAGCTCGTCTCGTGATTTCAAAGGGATCGATACTTACAGATCAAGTTCCTATTATCTCGAAAGCCAAGACACAACTATCATAACTAAAGGAGACCACCTTGTAGTTGATTGGTAAGGTGCATCCACCCCAATGAGCACAGCACGTGACGGTGTGGTTAGCAAAACGCTCATCCTTGGACCAAAAATTCCGGTCCGCAGGTACACCCCTGCACTGCAGGTACCCACATGGACTGTGAGAATGGACCCCTGCTGTAAGACTCTTCTCATGGACCTCCCAGTGGCTTTCAGGTTCCATGTCATGTGGTTCTCTGCAGGAGCTAGAAATCGTAGACCCAGCACCCATGTTGGGAGCCACCATGCTCTCGTACACGTCTCGCTACACTTCCACATCTTCCATGGAAGCGCCAAGTAGTGGATCTCCTGTCCCCTCCGACTTTTTGTCCACAATGGAGTCAGGCAAGAGCCTGGAGAGGCTCAATTCTGATGATCACCCTGACGTTCTGGGTTTGTATAAAAGCAATACGTGGAAGGTTGGGTCTGCTACGAGGTTGGGCAACTTTTGGCCAGCGGCTGGCAAGTATACATGCAATGTGCGCATGGCATGGGTATCCACAGTAATTAGTCTGTCTATATATCTTAGTATGCATCACAGGAACGCGGCTGTCATCCAAATCTATGTCACATGTAAATATCTTCAAATGAAACGGGAATTGACATGGAAAATTAAACCAAGGCTACATCAACCCATGCAAAAGTTACCGCGCACAAACAAGTGCTTAACCCCAACTTGGTGAGCATGGAACAAAATGAAGAAACTCACCCTAGTCCCCGCCACCAAACATATGCTTTCCGACCTCAAATACAGTGATATTTGGAAAGTGTCTTCCTTCAATACCCGAACATGTCGGTACTTAAAAGAAGAAATCCACATATGCCTTGCTTGGCCAGGATCAGTCTGGACTGGCTATGCAATGAACAAACAACAAACTATTATGGTGGTTGGCCAAGCCAGGATCAAAGGGGTCAGTAACCAACAAACCATAATACCCTCAGCATAGGCCTGTGTATCCATTTGGCACCCGTCCGATGGTGCCACTCGTGCAGCTCTCACTCCCAAGGCGGCCAGTAGGAAGCTGTTCGTTCGTACGAGCGCTACGCTCGGTGTTCGTTCCGTGTGCTCGGATCCAGTCCGTCCGACTCGGTCAGTTGGGAGTCGACTCACACCACTAGACATTAACACTGTATCCCAAACACGGCCCATGGGACTGGCATAGTATACAATTGGGGTGGTTTCACGGGTCAATGTGGGCATATATACTGGCATATGCCATGGAGTGTTTGGGTATATGTAGCAGTTGCAACCCCCACCATGCCTGAACATTGCATCAAGCCAAGTGCCTGGACACCCCCAAAGCGCCCCGGCCTGCTCTCCAGCAGCTGCCTCACCTGGCGCTCGGGCCTCGGTTCGAAGCCACCGAAGCCGCACGCGCTTTGTGCGCCGTCGACCGTCGCCGAGCGGCAGCCGGAGATCTTTCGCCAGCTGCGTGTCCTTGAGCATGGCCTGGCGCCGCAGCCTGAGAGAAGACGACAGGTCCCTCCGCAGCGGGGAAGGAGTCTGAAGACTCTCAGCGATTCCAGCATATCATCTAAAGTATTATAAAAGGGAGAAGGGAATCGAACCGAAAGAGACAACAACAGGACCTGGGCAGTGAAACAAGTTTGCGACCAGTGGACATACCCAAACTCGGTTATGGTGATGCGACTGAAGCGCGGCAACGTTCGCCCCAATCATTGTTGCAAGGTCAGAAACTCCATGACGATGCAAAGAAACCAACAGGGGCCTTCAGAAAATGCAAAGCACCTATCTGTCCCACGTGGGGTCATCAATGGGTATGACACCGCTTTTATTATCCCCACACACCATGCACACCGCCGTACATGCACCATCATGCACCTACGTGTCGGACCTACGTTGTCATTAAATGTCATTAGCTATTACCTGCTGGGGTTGGTTCCTTGGCCTGAGCAGGTCGGTTCTACCTGCTGAGGTCGGTTCGGTCTGAGCAGGTCGGTTTGGGAGCACCACCACTGCAGAGATCAGGTCGAGGTCGAGGACCCCCTTTTTGGGTCCGACGCGCTGCCTGCCGAGATCACGGAAGATGGACACCGCAGTGCAGTGGCCGGACATGTGAGGCTTCTGGTACTGCTCTGGACAGCCTCCATGAGAACGAAACAGCATGCCATGACGTGTTCGAACATGGCCTCCATGTAAGGCTGGGCATCCAGTGCATGTACCCAGAAGCTGCAAAACGCACACGCTTCTGGGGTCAAGTGTCAACGCCGTTCCGGGCGTAGGACGAAGCGGCGCTGCCCGATCTAGTGACATGACGGGCAAACAAAACCCTTATGGTTGAATTTCTGCTCCAAAGTGCCCTTCCACTAGAACAAAACAGTCTCCAACAAGAGTTCCACTGGCAAGGGGAAAGCCTTTGAGAACCTTGCCAAAAGGTACGTTTTCTTAAGAAGCCTTTTATGTTGTTTAGAGGTTAAGGGGTGTCCATTATCAATCACCCCATGTGGGTTCTGGTACCCCATGAGATTCATGGATTGTACCAGCAACCTCCTAGAGAGTCAGCACCTAGAATTTCTGACTGTCAGCCAAACAAACAAGGCATCGGTCTGGACTCCCGATGACTCCAAGCTGGATTCCTGGATATGTTGCACTGTGGCTTCCGTTCAATGACAGATTTGATAGGCGCTAGGGATTCCAAGGATGTAGCTGGAGCCCGCGTTGGGAGAGTGCGGGGGGCCTTCTCTGTCACTCAACCGGAACATCAGTCGAACAAAACATTAGGTCACACACCATGTTCACCAAACAACCTGCTCTTTCCATGAAACCTTGGACAAATGAGAGATCTGAGGCATGTCACGCGGTGGTTGGGCCAAGTTCTTCACGACTTGGGCCAAGTTCTTCACGGAACGCCCCTGCTGATCAGCCAACAAGCGCTAAGAGAGTGACTGTGAGGCCCTGCACTTGTTCTAAATGCCTATCAAACCAGCTGGAGGGTGATCCGCCCCCTCGACCAAAAGTTCAAAGTCGAAAGTCCAATGGTCAAGTCAAAAATGGGTGGGATAGTCTGCACTTTGGATGTTCAGCATTCCTAGATGATGAATCAAGGACTTGGTGAGAGGCTTGTTCACAAAGCACAAACAGCGTGCACACGTGCCAAGTAGAGAACTGATGTGGACAGGGTTCAACAACCTCTTAGGATGCCAAGTTGATTCACCTACACGCATGAGCTACAAATTGAGAGGACGCACAGCTACAGTTTGGAGCGAAATCTTTGACAAAGCCTCCAACTTAGCCACATCTTGACGCTTTTTGGCGGTCAGCTAAAATGTCAATATTCCGAACGCACGGCGCGTGCAAACGGGGAAGTGAGGCAGTAGCAAAAGAAGGGCAGGTGCTTCGGTTTTCGCTCAAAATGTGTGCTATATACAAAAAAGCAGAATCATGCATCTCCAGAGCGGGAAAAAAAACAAACATAGTCAGAGTAGACGATGCAACTCCTATGACTCCCATGTAAAACCCCGTTGATACCAACTCACCCAGTAGTAGCAGAACCGACCCGAACAACAATCCCATGTTGGTTGAAAAAGCAAATAACAGCTCGTTGTTTGACCAAAAGCTCCCACCACTTGCTTTTGCACGCCTCTGTAGCTATTGTGAGCAACCCTTTTGGCTGCTGACGCATTGTTTTAACCTCTCCGCCACCATCTCCTTGACGAAAACGGGCGAGGGCATGCGAGGGCTACCTATATAAGTCTCGATTGAAGGCGGGACCCGAGGTGTCAGTGGCTAGGACGAAAAAACATGGACCTTGCTTAGCCTTGCTTCATCCCCTTTCCTGGCAATGACTCCAACATCCACTCTACAACCCAACAAGTTCACATGACGAAGCTGCAGTACTGGAGCAATCGCAGTCCACCTATGCAGGTCCCTTCGTCCAAAATTCAAGACTCAAGACCAACCTCTGCCGCTCCTTAAAGGGTCCAAGTTCCAACTGTGATTCGGATAATGACCCCTGAAGGAACTCTCTGCTATGAGCTGGTGTCTGGTCGGCTATCACATGTCAGTTGATGTCGTCATAGGCTACAGTGCTACAGCATTACCCCCGCATGAAGAGTGCAGGCGAAAAAATAGAGACCCTAATACACAAAACGACCGCCAGGAATATATTGTCGCTACAAGTCGCAATAAAGAATGACAAGAAACTGAACCACCACCCAACATTCAGGAAGCTAGGATCCCCAGGAAAGGCGATGCGTTTGGTGTTCTTCCAGCCCAAGCAAGCCCAAGCAAACGGCTAAACCACGAAAAGGATATCAAACAGCACCATCATGCACCATCCCTGCAGTCAAGGTACTCACAACGAGCGCCGGGGTAGAGACTTCCAAAATTGTTTATTACGCTTTGCCGGCCTGACCGGTGGGAGAGCGCAGCTTTGCGCTGGTAAGCAGCAAGTTCCTCTGTATCAACTGCATCAAGGGCTTTGAAACAGATCAATGCTCTCTGACATCAAGAAGACCGACCCCTCCATTCAGCCCGACCCCTCTTAGCGCCTTCTTGGACATCTTGGCCATCATCTTCTCGTACTCCTCCCATGTGCGAGACTCTCCAACCACCCAAAACGACATGGACAACTCAAAAACGACAGGGCCGCCGCCAAAGGCCTCCAAATACCTGGTTGGTGGTTTCAGCTCACATGAAAAATCAGTGGGGATCGATCATCCCAAGCAAAAGTTGAACTTAAACATATCATATCTGAACATATCAGAAACTTAGTTAAAAAGGCATTTCGATTTCGAGCCCGGTCCGGGAACATCGTTGTTGCATGCTTTTGCTAAGTTCTTCCCCTACCATGCGGTGCCTAATGAAGACTGAAGCCAGGACCTCTAGGACCCCTCTAGAGCGCCTGGAAGGGGAAGGCCGGGAAGGCCTCGGTACTTCCAAGCAACGCCAACACCTTCGCGAGGGGGGTTTATAATGGTTTGTTAAATATCTATATATTTCCGTAGGTTTCCAGCATGACCCCAAACTTCAAATGCCCACGCATGACTTCAGGCAAGGCCCTTGGACTCGCATCGTGGCGTGGCACAGTCCTCCATGAGGAACTTCTTCGCCCTTTCCGAGATCTCCTCAATGTTCTCCTAGCAAAGAGTCAGGTCGTCTTCGCTCTGTGAAGTCGTCCTCCACCTCCATTCCATTCCATGTGAATCCATCCGCCCATGGAACACAACAACATCTTCTACTCCACGGAGTCCGTCGCACTCCAAAAACATGTCTAGAAACATCTCAAGAACTTGGGCCTATCTGGTCTATCCTATTACCTGTAACAGTGGATGATGATGGTTAGTAAAGACCTTGCGCAAAAATAGTGATAATTGTATACTGATTGTTACAGGTAATAGGAGTAACCCAATTGTTTTTAAGAAAGGAAACGCCTTGGATTCTAGCCTTCTCTGTAACGTCTTCCCCAGAGCACCTTGGTGTAGGGATACTCCACCTCCTCCGCATCGGCCGGGATTTGCCCATGATCCTGGCACCAGCGGAGCAGCGCCCCAGCGGTGGAGTGGTGGAGGCTGCATCTACCGCAGTAAGCCCAGCTGGTCTAGACGGATCAGGTGGAAAACGCTTGACACCTGAGTGTGTATGAACATAGGGAGGACCCCCCAGTTCAACCCTGTGGTTGTTCGGACCCTTGTGCGGAAGAAAGGCCTTCAACATCTTGATGTACATCTTCCACTCAGCCAGGCATTCGGCCAAGTGCTTTTCCAAGGGGTGCGCCTTCATGTGCTTTTCAGCCTGGCAGTGAGGTGTGTCAAGCTTGGCCGGTCTCCTTCGATCATTCTAGTATCCAGGGCGATCTCTGCGAGTGAGAACATCATGTAAAACATCCTTTCCAAAGCATCGCCACCGATACAACGTCTAGGAATGTCTAGGAAACACATAAGTACCCATCCCAAACGTTCCATATCTTCATGCAAATATGTGACTTGGCCAGCCAAAGCGCAGCTCCTCCGACCGGTCCACTCGATCCGTCTCCGACCTTCAGCTTGTCCGCTTCCCCCATCTCTGCGGTGAGGTCGGGGAATTGCCCCTGGTGCGCGGCGAGCCGCGGAGGGGCAAAGGAAAGGGGGGGGTCCCTGGCCAGTCTCGGGGCAGGTGTGGGTGGCGTGCTACCGAGACATGTAACAAAAATACTAGCACTTTACATGTCGAAACTTTGGAACAACTAGCACTTTTGGCGCAGCATGCCCTGAAACCTACGAATCAACGGAAATTATACTCGTCGAGCATGAGGGGACCCCATTTTTCCTCAGCAGGAGAGATGTGTCGACCAAACCTGAAGAATGACCGTCGTGGCCAGGACGTGCGAACCCTTGTAGATGTAGTTGCACCTGAGTTGCTGAGCCGCAAAGTGGCGAACACTTGGTTTGCATATGTTTCTATCGGGTCTCTTGCAGGGAGGGAGCCAAGAGTGGCTTCAGCAGGGTGATGCCCCTGATGGTCACTAGGCCAAACAGGTCACAATGGCCTCAACCTGATTGTCCCCCAACAAGCCGGCTCAAAGCTTTCTGTGCAATCCATCGTTGGACACTTGCAGCCTCAGCGATGCGTCCCCACAAAAAAAAAAGTGATCAAATACGCTGCGTTCCTGGATGTTCCTAGTTAGGGTTTAGGGATTCTGTTCAAGTTGGTCCTCTTGTTCAGGTTCCTCGTCAGGTTCAGGAGTTCATGCATTTCCACACGGCTCCATGCGCAAATATTTGCAGTTGTTGTTCCTCCCATCTCAGGCACTCGTAGTGCTCGTCTCGGGTGGTCTTTGGCAGCCAATCCCTGACTCCTCACGAGCGGAGAAGGGTGCGCACGCCAGGGCCGGGTGAACATGGACCTCTAGGGCTCCTGTCCCACCTCCGTTTCGAAGGTGGTTGGGGTGGATGCAAGGGGGGTCGAATACCACCGAACCTGAGGATATGGTTGGAGCCCTAGGGATAAAGGTTTGCCAAACTTTCCGCCAGTTCTTGATGTGAAGCAACTGTCCGTTCCCCCCAAAAGTGTCATTAAAGGTTGTTGTCCACTGATTGAGTGTCCGGGTTGTTCATCTACCTCATGGGTGTTCAGGCTGGAAACGGCCATGCCTAAATCATCTATACAGTATATAAATCTACCTCATACATATGTAGTCACATAGTGGCCATCCTAGAGTCTAGAGCTTGGACTAGCGACCGCAACTCGAATCCTTCCCCAGCGACATCCGGTGGAGGACGCGACAATCAAGTGTCACAACGCCGCGACTGCACGCGCCTAGGAACTTCTGTGGAAAATCGATGAAGTAACGGTTGGTGATGATTTGGCCCGCATATCCTTGGGCCATCCAGCTACCACATAGACAATCAAAAACACTTTAAACACAAGCAACTCATGGTCCAACTAACTCGCAAACTGCGAGAACACCAACAGTCTAAGCACACCCTAAGGCTCTACGGTGCTGCAAGTAATGTAGTAGGAATCTTGTCCTGGACAACTTTGGCTGGATCACTGAGTTCTTTCAACTATCTACAGTACTCCAATCCACCCACTGAGAGGGCAATATAAGAATGGATGAGAATCTGCACCATTCTCATTCTCCAGCCCTCCAAGAACCTCATGGCCCATGAAAGCCCATGGATGTTCTTAGGCAGAAAGATCTGGAGTTGCTATGGCCCACAAGAAACATCTGCAGCCAGGAAGCCAGGTGCCAAGCTGAATCCTTGCCAATGAGGCTGCAAGCAAACCACCGAGGGGGTCGTCTCACTCCACAAGCCAGATGGTTTGTAGTGGTTTCAGAGTAGCCCTAACAGGTGAACATCCTATGGTTTAAGGACAATAGGGGGTAGATCTCTCACCTAGTTTGAAACCGGTGTAGGTCTCTCAAGTTAGTTGTGATCTCTTGTGCTGCTGTTTGGGCTGCACTTGGTCCCGCAAATGGTAGAAGAGTGGGTTTGGTGTGATTTTTGGGGTCAAACCAATGTGGGTTTAGGTGTGCTTTAGAATGGGACCGTCCCCGCAAGGAACCGAAGGAACCCTGGGCCTTGCGGGAGACATGATTCAAAGGGCCGGCTCCCCCGTCCCGCGCAGGTTGCGCCTCCAAAGTTCTTGGCCTGCACGTTTTCGCAAGCGAGGCCAGCCCCTATCCTGTTCCCCCTCGGAGTGCCAATCGCTGGTTTCTCCATCTGGAACTCGGCGATGGAACTCGATGATGACTCAGCTTGGATGTCAAATCGCCCCAGTGTTCGACTTTCAGGGCCTTGTGTTGCGGCCAATCTACCAGTTGCAAAAGAAATCAGTTAAGCACCATCCAACATATGCCAAAATACATGCCCGGCCCCCAGCGTGTGAATCCTTCATGGCAAAGCGTGGTCTTTCCGTACCTCACCCTCAAGAAAGACCGGTCCTGTAACCAATGTCAGGTGAAGGAGTTCTTCTGGCAACAAGGCCTAGGGCCTAGAGGGCCAAGCTTACCACTCAGCTATATGAAGGCCTTGATCTCATCCATGTGTGCCTCTGCATTGGGTGCATCCTACTACCAGCAACCGTGGATGATGACGACGATGACAATTAATGGTCTTGCTTATTCTCAGCACAATGGTCATAATATGTTGCCGACTAATGGGCCACGCCCTACCTCTACCTTCCCTTGAAGACTTTGACTCCTGGACGTCCTGTCCTCGCCTGGACGCCCTTGGCAGGAGCCACCACGGGCAACAAGGGATCACCGTTGACCCACCAGCCTTGGTAGAACCTGGGCTGAGAGCTTTTACAAGAGTTAATGGCTTCAAATAAGATCGTGCATCATATCGCGCATACATCAAACAGTGGCCACTCCAGGTCCTTAAGGTATTTGATATATTGTAGATTTCTGTGCTTCATCCTTTTTAACCACACCACGGACAAGGTCCTTATATTATATGGCATCCCTGCACATGAGGGTCTGAAGAACAAGGCAAGCCTTCTAAGGCTCTAAGGCTCCAAGAAGCTTGAAGCCAATGATGTCATCAAAATCCGTCGCACCGGTGCTGCCCAGGCATTTCCTCGGAGAAGTGTGAAAACAGGATCGGTCGGGCCCTCTGTTGAAAACCGCTGGTGCCCCAGAATCCATTGGGTACCTGGTCCGCTGTGTCCAGAGCCAGGGCTGCCGCACACCCATCGCAGCTAACGTGTGCGCACAAGTCGCTAGTGAGCTAGACCTTGCTTTGCCCTGCACCCTTCACCGTGGAATGGTGGCCTTTCCAAATGCTGCTTTGGTGGTTCGTTGACCCCGTTGCACCCAGGCGTCATGACCACGTTGCAGTCGATCTCCTTGCCATCCTTCAAAACCTCACTGGCTTTGAGGGCGAGTCGAAGACATGGGCTTCAAGCTGCTGAGCTGAGCGCCGCTGATGAAGTGAAGCTATATATTAATGTATGTCATACTACACTGGGAATGAAGCTTCTACCAGCCCCTTCACCCAGGAAAAAAAGCACGACATACAGTATACATGAGGATGGTTACTCCACTGCGGCATGGCCGATCTTCCTGCCCGAGGGGCAACTTTTCCCTGGGCCAGCTTCTCAACCTCACCGTTGATGACCTCACACACCTGCTGACGGCAGGCTGCAGCATGCTACGGAGTAGAAACAATTGTAACATCTGGAATCATCGTTGACACTGGTCACCTTTGAACATGTATCAGAATCAATTCATCTTGGCATAGCAGGGTTGCCTCATTGAATGACGTGATTTTACGTGACTACACCAGAATTGTAGGAGTCATATTCAGAGAACACATGTGACACACAAAACAAATACGTTTATACTTGTAATTGTCATATAAACTCGCAAAGCTTGTGCACCTTTCAAGGCTCTCAGTCCATACTTCTGTGATCTGCATGTGGTGCAGAACTTGCACAGTTCTCACGAAGGTAGCCTAAACCACCTCCCACAAGGCCTAAACATGGTCCCATGGCACCTTGGAAGACTACTTTGGGTTGAACTCCATTTCCATGTCATCATGTGATGTGTTCATGTGTTCGGAGTGTATGTCACAGCAACTGCCATGTGATGCCTTCTGCTCCAAACCACTAAGCCGGTGATGGCTCGCCATCCCGGTCACCGGTCACCAAACCTCTGTCGCGACCAATCTGACCGCAAAGCTCGCGTGAGCCAGCGGATTTCGCTCGGTCGCGGGCCTTGTAGTAGCAGGCTAAGAAGTAGATGTCAGTCACGCCAAAGGTGGTGGTTTGCGTCAGAATGGCGCTACTGCGATCGGCATTGGCGTTCCTGAAAGGTCGAGTGGAGAGATGTGGACGTCTGGGCCGCTCCAAGCAGCCCATGCACCTCCGAGCCTTCACTCGCACGGGGCACTTGCAGTCGTACTCCATCACACTCCCCAGGCCAGCGTTGAAGCATCACAGCGAGTGGTGAGCCACCCAAGAATCCCCTAAATCGACCAACTGATCTTTAACAACATTTTATTCTTAAACAAAAAAATCATGTCCGACATGTCCTGAACCAGTTGGTCGACATGTCCGACACCTTGAACGATTTCTTGGAACATGTCCGTCCTGAACGTCCATCCATCCATCGGGCCCGTCTCTCCCCGACCGTCCAACCGAACCCACCACCTCCGTCTCTCCAGAAGCGACCGGCCAAGGCTCACCACTGGATGGGCCCAAACATCAACACCTAAAAGGCCATACATCATCTGGAAGGCCTCCACCACGTAAGGTCCTCCATGTCCATGTTCTGTCCAGGCTGCGGGAGACAAGGGGCTGAGTTTGGGGAGACAAGGGGTTCTGCTCTTTTTGGACACGGCCTTCCTTTTTTGTGGGGGGGGGAGATCGGATGGAGAGGGTAGTGTGGGCGAGCGGATTTCGGTGTTCCAACTGCCCAACTGCAAGGATTCGCTTAGTTTAGGCCTCCAAGGCTGCTCACAAAAGCCATGAATTCAGATGACTCTCCCCCAAAAATGACAAGAAAAGGCATCAACATGAGCCCAAGTCAGAGATCCAGACCGAAGGAATCCAAGCATGAAGACGAAGAAAAAGAGACCGTCCGCGCACTCAGCAAGCAGTTCAAACCACGAGCAGTTCAAACCGTGCTGGACGCATCAATCAAACCAATCTTCCACCCACTCACCGCCGATGAACCGTGCTGGTGCCCTGCATGGCTCACATGGCTCGGACGAACTCTGACGAAAATGGAACGAGCCAACAAAAGCCCAACAAAATCGTGTCGTAAACACACCAGCTTTCTTTTGGCATGTCATCGTTATAACATATCCTGTACCAAAAAACAAAAAAAACGTTATTAACTATAACCAACAACCCCCCCAAAAAAAAACAATCAAAAACAACACCGAATCGATCGGTCCTGGAATGGGGATGGCCGCACCACTGACCATCCATGAGACCATCTTTGGCCCCGCCAAGTGCCGATGCCGGCACACCACATAGACCTGCGACGTGAAGGAGAGACCGGTGACGTTTCGGTTTTCGTGGCCAGTTACAGGAAAGTCTTCCACCGACCCCAAAATATGGTAAAAGACAGCCCCGAATTCATGAACATGGAAGCGGTCTGGACGCTGTTTGTAAAGGAACCGCTGGTCTTCCAGGCTTCATCGTCCATGTCTATTTCAGGGAGTCCCCGGTCCACCGGTCCAGCGGTCGGGCCTTCTTGCACTTCCGTTCCACGCAGGTCCGCACGTTCTCGATGGTGAAGCCGCCGTGCCCCACGATCACCACGGTGGCGTCCTGCGCGCGGGAAACGCACGGGTGTCAGACCTGCGCGCGTTAGCAACGGAGGTGCATGTCTCTAAGCAGGCAGTAGAAAGAGCAGGGTCTGATTCGTTCCCTCTTTTGGCGGGGGTCGGTCTGAGTCTATGATGTATATATGCATACAATACGTGATAGTCTATATACTATATAATACTACCCTAGGGCTCCAACCGCCTCCTGAGAAAGTGGTTGGGGTGGGTGCCAGGGGGGTCGAATACCACCGAACCTGAGGATATGGTTGGAGCCCTAGGGCTAATAGTCTACTATAAGTACGTGTACTATATATATACACCTCTCGCGTCGGTCGGTCTGCGACCACGGGTATATGGTCGGTCTGCTCTGGTCAGGAACCCCTGGACGCAGTGACAAGGGAGAATGGGATTCATATACTTTACTGTAGTATATATAGAAAATGTGTTTTCTATCGTCCAATGTTCGAGTCTGTAGGTTATGATGGTTATGTGTTTGCTAGTTGAGGGGCTGCATTCGACTGGTGAAATATGTATACAATTGAAATCAATAGAATGGGTTTGGTGCAAACCCCACAGGTCCCCCAGAGTGGTGACAGGTCCTGACCTGTCATTGTTCCAGCGCACCACGTCTCAGACCGGTCGGTCTGGGTCCTTCAGCTTCTCATACTTGATGCTGTCATAGGAGCCATGGCAAACATATCCTTGGAGGCATCATCTCTTTCAGACATTAGCACATGCGTCAGCAAGAACTTCATAGAATTTGAGCTGTAGTCAATCATCTTCTCCGCATGTCTAAAGTTGAGAGACCACAAAAAATAGGGCATCACTTCGTGTGGCAAGACATTCCATCATATGTATCACCGCAAGACGTGTCAATTCCGGATCACCGCAACCGCCCAAAACTCCCGGTCGTCGATGCAAAAACGCGGCCAAAGGCACCACCGAACTCATCCCTGCCCGGCCACTTGATGTCAATGGGGTTGTAGAAGACGCCTCCCATGGCAGTCCAAAGGCAGCCCGCCGTCCCGTCCGGGAGCACGTGATGGGGGGCGTGGTGGTGCTTAAGGGTCCAAACTTCCATGTGAGATCTCGGCGTCACTGGCCACTGGGCGCTGTCAGTTTTCCGGTCGGTTGCGAAGACAAAATAAGCAGCTCACAGTAAAAGAAAACAACGCCACGTGCTGCTAGCTGGTGCTCCTTTCCGTTCCATTATGTAGATGAGTATGAACGCAATGCACATACATGCGTACGATGTTGTTCGTGGCTGATGGACCCTGGGAAAGCCCCTAAAAAAGTAAGTATACAGCAGTATGATATATCAATATAGAATCCAGTCAGTGGAAGTACGTATCATTGGCTCTACCCTGGGCGGAACATGTGATGAACATGTAACATGTCATTATCAGCGTTTTGGGCCACCAGCAGCTTCAATCAATAAGGAAATCACAACAAATAGGTCCGCGCACATTTTGCCCACACACCTTGCACCCTTTCGTTCTCCTCGGTGCACCGGGCCCCCCCCCGCGGTCCCCGGCGCTCCCGGTGTCGCCTGGGCAGCTGATCAAAGCACTCACCTTCAGGGTCTCCGAGGCGTCCTCCGTGGTCAAGCTCAGCTCCTTGAGAGGCAGCCGCAGAAGCGGAGCTCCTAGTAGCGTCCTTGCTCCCAGTAGCGATGCCAGGAGCCCCTAGTAGCTTCTTCCTAGTAGCGATGCCCTTTGCTCCTAGTAGCGTCCTCTAGCCCCCCTCAGCAGAAGCGGAGCCGTCGGCCGAAGGCAAAGGAAGGTGTGGAGAGTTGGGAGAGTTGGGAGGCAGTGAGCCATGGCTCTCAGCAGCCAGGGAGATGAGTGAGAGTCGAGTGAGTTCAAGCAAAAGCCGAAGGGATGCGTTGGCGCGCAAGGTTCCAGGTGCTTCCAACTGAAAAGGGCTCACAGGCTTGACTTGACATGTGCTAAAAGTCAACCAAATTGACACTTCAAGTGCTCTCATCCACCAATTAGGCTCTCATGTCGCTCCTCAACCGATCAATTGATCCGAAATTCTCCTGCAAACTCCATCCAAGGCTCAGTTGCACCCTCCAGACCCACAACAAATCATCAAACCCCGTATGACCAGTATCTTTGGGCTCCAGGTTTGGACCCATCCCCTTTGTGTCACCCCTTGGCCGCTGATCTTCGATCATCCAAGTCGCGTAGTAGCCACCATCCAAGGGATCCCCCTTCACTTCCACCTTCTCAAGCGAAGTATTGAACCTGACTTCGTGGGTAGGAGCGAATGACACCCGCACCTGCCAAGACCCAAGCGAACCACCCAGGAATCCGATCCAGGATTCAGGAGGCAAGAATTCACTAAAAAGAAGCGATGACATGCGGTGACCATGGGACGACTGGCTTTCCTATCCTTTCGGTGCTCTGGACGTTTTCATCCTCTAAGGGGGCCAAGAGGCCTCTTCCTCCTCGGATCCATTTTAGCTGCGCTGGCTGCCGTGTTCCCTTCTAACTCGACTGAAGACGAGCCATTTTTCTCCAAGCGCCATGCAGGGCAGTCATAAGGGTCCTTTGACCGAGGATCAGCTACAGGCCGCTCTGAGCCACTGGGCAGGCTGGTGCTGAAACTCTTGGCAATCGAGTTTTTGCAAAGCCTATGGGCAGCTTGCCTTAGACCCTGACTCTGCCAAATGAATCTTTCTCAGCATTCTGACTTTCCTTCACCAAGCACAGGGTTCAGTGAAGATTTGCTGTTCCCACACGCTGGAAGATGTTGCTCAATGCAACAGAAAATGATTGAAAGGGATAGGAACTCCAGGAACTCCCAACCTGGCAGTGTTTCGCCTTCAAGCAATTGCTTAATTTAATGAACTGAGTTGATGCTACGACGGTAACTTGTTCACCTGATCGTCCTTCAAGCACGCGGGGAAGTTTGCTGGGGCGGGCCTGACTTTTTACGTTGGAACCAGCTCCATTGTCCAAAGCGGCTGTAGCCTGGTTTTTGACCATGCTTCAGGTCGTTGCCAATTATTTTGCACATGCTGCCGCCTTCTGGGCAAACGCACTTGAATAGAATTCTCAGGTTTCCCCCAAAAACAACGCCTAGGAACTGTCCATGCTCATATTCCAAAATGGACTCCCAAGCAAGGACGCACCTTGTCACAAGGTCTCCTGCCGAAATCGGTTTCCTCCCAAAAAAAAAGACAGCTGCGGTTCTTGGTGCATCTGATCTTTCACGGTCATCTTCTCGGCCGTCAGCCAGGTTACTTGCACCTTCCTTCATGCCAAGTAGCTGGGGGAAGCCATGAACACTGCAGTAAACACCTGATTCGGAGAGGCTGCCAGAGCAGTGAATCATCCTGTCAAACGTGGGAGGAAACGCCAATGGCCAAAGTGTGCCATCCTTGAGACGCTTCACCTGCTGATCTTCTCAATGTTCCCATTTTTGCAACTTCTAATGACCATGGTTTCCAAGGAGAACACTAATTAGATCATCCATCTCTTATATATATATATATAATTCCTAAGTTTATTTAGGAACATCTCATTCTCATTCTTCCCTACCGGTATCCAATGCAACTACAGTAAGCTGGTTCATCTCTTTTTTCGGGGGATCTTCTTATCCAAAGAAAACGGCCCGGGTCAACTGCAGGAGATTCGCTCAAGGATGCGGTGGCAAGTACTTCCCCGACACATAGGCCGTGGGAAGCCGTTGCACCGGCTGCACCACGCGTTGCACCCGCGTGGGCGAGGAAGACCGGAGACCTGGGCCGAGCCAGTGGTTTGAAGAGAAGTTCCAAGCTGCAGGGGGGGTAGATCATAGGATGGTGGGTGGTTCTAGAATGTTCTAAACACTGGCCCATAGGATGGGGGGAGTTAGTACAGTGAGTTTTGGGCCAATGCTCACGTGACTTGTTCGCAGTCTTGTCAAAGCCAAAAAGCCTTGAGTTGATCGAAACATGAGGTTCGCACGGGAGTCTGGCCGAGGGCACGAGGTGTTTCCCTCAACAGTATCAAAGGACCATCGATTTCCCTGAGAGTCCAGGTGACTCATTTTACCCCTATACTCTTTTACTAGCCTAAGGTGACTTGTGCATCCTCTGCACACATAGCGCCTCGACCCGTGCAAAAAAAAAGACTCATTTTACCCCTATAGGCCCTATGGATGGATTGTGAAGTACCAGGTGGAGTATCAAATGGGTCATTGGAAGTGTGGGGGTTTACTGGCCAAAGAATATCTTCAGTTGGACGTTAAATGTCCCATGGTTTTCCACGTCAACTCCCCCACAATGGACCCAAAAACGGATGGGGCTTCAAGTGATTTCAAGTGCCAGGGTATACGCATTGAGAATTTCAAGCATCGGGACCCAGAAAAACACCCTTGGGCAATTCCCTGACTGCGGCCAAATCAGATCCTCACACCTGGATTGCTCGAAAAAGTCCAAAACAATCCAAAACACGTCCCAAGTCGAAGATTCGCAACCTGAGGGTCTAAGACCCTCCATCTCGATTCACCTGACAGGCCGACAGGCCACTGCCGCTTGCGCCACCAGCTGGTGCCATGGAGGCTGACGATGTAAGGTAGGTCACAGTCTTCACGCGCTCCTGGGCGGCGCCCCTCTGCGTTCTTGTGGCACAAACGACGAAGCGCCCTGTCGTGCCTGGTCCTCTCAAGCCGTTTTCCACCCACCCACCCACCCACCCACCCACTCCATACACCGAGGTGGTTTGGGGGTCAACATGAGCATACTTCAGGTCTGTGTATGCAATGTTCGTGTCTGGGCGGACCAGTGCCGAGTGTCAGGTGAACTGGTCCGCGCCACGCCGGTGGGGGGCAAGTGTGGCCGGGCGTTGGCAGTGACCGGGTAGCTGATCAAGCCATCATCGACCAGCCTGGCAGGCGTGCTGCGCGCTGAAATCATCCCCCAAATCCGATTTGGTCTCATACAACTGGTCTGAGCCTCAGAGAGGGGCATTGAGCATTGTAAGAAAGACTTTCTTATAAATTGTATTGTAAAACCATAAAGTTTTATAAAACATTATAAAGCTATGTCATGTGAGCATGTTTAAGACCCAATCAGTGGTTGATCTCAGGATTCCAATTTCACCTGAGTGGTCTGTGGTCGTTCATTTCGCCCGCCCGAACTTGCGGTCGACCGGGCGATGAAGGCGAAGAACCAGGGCGAGCTGGGGCATGGCTTAAGCCGTGCCCCCCTGATACTGCCCTTGTACTGCCGCACTTCAAGTTGTCCCATGCATGAGTACACAGATACACCTTCATCCATTCACATCCAGCCCCCACGAAACGCGGAAAAAAGAAAAACTCGTGATGTCATGGGGATGCCATTTTTCCCGCCCCTGTCACCGAACCAAGCCGCATTTCTTCCACGAGCTCGGCGTTCTTCTCGCGGAGCGCCAAGTTCCGCTCGCGGAGCTCTTGGATGGCCTGCATGGCCTGCCGTTGTGTTGCTTGATTGACGCCGAAAACGCCGTTGCCCTGGAAAATAAAAGTTTGACCTTTTTCTAACTCGTCCCATATTTAGGGGGAGAAGAAACAAATTCCCCCCCAAAAGACAACAATAGGTTAAAGGATGCTAAAATTATGCTAAAGGTTATCAACTTTTCGTGGGTTTGGTATTTTTTTGGGGGAACAACCCCTAAACCTCTTACCATCTCCGTTTCGTTGCGGTGCCAGGGGTGGGTGGTTTTTGGGGGGTCGAATGCCACCGAACCTCCTGAGGATGGGAACGTCCCCAGCGAGGCCTCCACCCGTTTCAGGTTGGTGCCGCGGTCGGAGTAGCTTGGGACGCTCGAGATGCTGGCGGTGCGGGGCCAGCAGGGCCGTGGATTTAGACGAGATGCGAAGGAAACGAGATGTTTTTTTGACAAGTAAACCAAAGTCGCTTGGGTGGCATAGTCACAGTACGCATCATCTCAAGAGGCCATAGCTCTTAGGGTGGGAACATTGCAAGGTCCAAGGTATAGTTCTTGGACAGTGGCGTTCTATATATACAAAGGTTATTTGTTGCCCAACTCAGGAAGGGTTGTCTCGATCTGGATTTTCTAGCCAGCTGAGCTGTCGCCCTTAGAAAACACCTGCGGCCTGCTGATAGCTCTCTTCGGTGGCTCCACTGGAGATCAGTCTCTGTTGCCTTGCCAAACGTGGGACACGCTTGCAAATGATGGATGGATTTCTCCCGCGTTAAGTGACATGCAACATTGATCAACATTGTATTTATCAATTGGGTTCAAATGGCTACGGCCAGCTTGAAAAGTGAATCATCCCACCACTCCACCCACCAACATTCTTCACGCTTGCAAGAAAAAATAGCGTAGCAACACTCCAGAACCAAGCTGACTGTTTGAGAAAGTTTGCACCAAGCAACCCATCAACATCCACGAACCAAAGCCGGATGCAGGATGCAGGTCCCTGAAATCCCATCATCTATAAATATATACCCTAGGACCCTAGGGCCCATGTCCCATATCCTCAAGTTCGGTGGTATTCGACCTCCCTGGCGCCCACCCCTGGCCCACCGAACCGAAACGGAGGTGGGACAGGAGCCCAAACGGGTATAATGGACTTCTACAGCTCCCCACAACCCCCAACTAGTCGCCCGCTCGTACTGTACACCGTCCAGGTGGTGGTGTAGCCCCAGGATCAAAAACATAGTATAGCCCTACACCTCCAGTCGTACCTCCTCAGAAGGTATGACTGGAACCTCCTGGCACCCACCCGAGTCCCACCTTCTCAGGTTCGGTACGACTGGAGGCCTAGGGCAGCCCATCGATGTGTGCCCAGGGAGCCCATCCAAGAGGAAAACACAAACGTTGCCAGTTGGTGCGGCACAAGGTTACCTTGTTGCCTCTCTATACGTTGAAAGGGCACGTCCCATATATACTATATATATTGATATTCTGTAGTTAGATATCTGAAGGGTATGTTGGAGGGTCCAGTAAAAGCTCTGAAGGGTACGTTGGCGGGTCCAGGAAAAGTCCCACAAACTGTTGCCAGGTCGCACATCTGCCACTTCCGAGGACTTGTTGGAGCTTCCCGAGCGAGTGGAGCTGCGGCGGACCACCGTACCTAGGTGGTGCGAGAGGAGCTACAGAGAGGAGGTTCGAACACATGGGGTTGTACTATAAAGAAAACATGCACTTTGTGTGATCGTTTTTGGGAATTGCTCCTACTAAACTGCTTATTGGGGGTGTTCTTGATACAACCTCCGCATACTTCATGGGCCAAGTTACATGGAACAAAATTATGGGCTTGATAGGCACTTAAAAGTTAAAACTGGTGCCTGGTACAAGTATAGTGAGTGTAGCGTCTTGGAATACCTTGAGATGGTTCATAAGTGGATCAAGGCTTTACGAGCAATGCGGATAAAGCAAACCCCTTACTGGCCCAAAACGCCCAAAGTCTTGCGGTCTTATTGCCTCGCTGGGTTTCTTGCAGGTGCCCAACGGTTTACAACACACTCTCTCTCTCTCTCTAAACGACACCCTGAAAACTTTGATTGCGCTCAGGAGCAAACTCTTTATTTTGGCGGTGGACTCTCCAAGGCAGCAAATAGCTTCACAGTACTAGCACCCTGCGGCTACTGTCTTCTTGGTGACCTCTTGGAAAATGCTGCTATGCCAGGTATGCGGGAGGGACCAGCTCAGGAAAATCATTAGAGTCTGAATCATCTGCGACTGGCTCAGGAACTTAGAGCTTTCCGAGCCAGCACAAGCAGCATCTTGAAGAAAGGGGCAATCACCTCACCCAAGTTCCATCAAGTTCCAACCATTCTGGGACTGAAACGAGTGGACGTGCTGATGGATCTGATTGAACATAATTACAAAAACAATGAACAAACGCACATGAGAACCACATGCTTCGCTTCGCACTGTGTCACCTTGCCCCTGATGCTTCGCATCTGCTTCACATCACTTCCCGCCGCGGCACTGGCACTCTCTGGGCGTTGGGCGGCGCCAGCCGGTGCCGAGAGTAGCCTGTTCAGTCTGTTCAGTGGGGTGTTCTGTGCCGGATGTCGCCTTCAACATGGTAGCTACCATGCAGCTGCATGACCCTCCAAATTCCGGAAGCCCATTGAAATCCTACCTGTCTGTACCTTCCAGTCGGGTTCTCCCTGGCTAGAGATCCACTATACATCGTGCAGGGTCACAGACAGGTGACCCCTCGGTGGTGGAGAATTCCCCGTGGATCGATCGAGAAATCGACTTCGCCGAAGCGGCCGGTCACGCCGAAGGGGCGGGTCACGCCTTCGGCGGGTCACAGGCGTCCAAAAACTGTCAGACGGGTTGTTTTGTGTTGATTCTTTCGGCATTGAGGCCTCCCCCCAAAAAATAGACGGCAAAAATGCACCTAGCGGGATTGGTTATAACCCCAAACGAACATGGAACCATGGTTGGAGCCTGAGAATAGACCCGTGCTTTCGACTCTAGTAAGGTTGAAACCAGACGTGAACACCTGCGAACGGCCCTATAGCCTCTTCCGGAAGCCGTCCAGCTCGATCTTCCGTCGAGCACCAAGCAGACCCAAACACTCCATGTATGCCATATATGCCCAGATTGACACCCAAAACCACCCCAACTGATCGGCATATATGGCAGTCCCATGGAGCGTCTGGGAGAACAAAGATCGACCCGCAAGTGCAAAGTCTTCGATCCAAAAGAAACTCAAAGGAACACCATCGACCACCTTCATGTTGGGGTCGGGGTCTGCAAGACCGCCCATCGACTATCGGATCTACACTCGACACCCCGACATGAAGGTCTAGGATGGTCTAGGTATGTTTCATGATTGTTCTACCAACCCACACAACTACAACCTATATTCCCTGGGAGTCCAAGACCATTTACAAAATGCTCTGATTTGGGTGATCTGAAGAGAAATTTCCTTAGTTCAGAGGTGTCTTTCGACTTCTATAGGCATACTTTGGACACTTTTAACTTTGAGTGTTTTTGGGGCGACCGACCCAATTGGATCACCAAGCCGCTCGATCTTCGAAGCATCGAAGACCTCGACCTCGAAGGTGACGGGCGGCTTTCACGGTGGGCACAGGAGCACTGAAAACAACCGCGCCAGCCGGGCAAGAACCAGAGGCGGTTCCGGTTTGTGGTGTGTGTGTGTGTGTGTGTGTGTGTGTCCCAAAGTGTGTCCCAAAATAGGTCCAAAGTCCCGTAGCCTCCGTGTAGACTGACAAGAACGCAAATATCGAGCGGAAAATGAAATGCACTTGGATAACTCTTACAGTATATCTGGGACTTGTGCATGGTTCACTCATTGAAGCACTGAAGATGGATGAAGCAAATAACTGCGACGACGCGGATATTGCTCAAGTATCTCAAGTATATCAATTGAACGAAACGTATCGAAACGTTTTGACATGTTTTGACGTGTTGACGAGTCACGGATTCTCAACTGGCTTACGGCAACAGCAACAATCAGCTACATATTATGGAACAAGTCTCGACAAGTGACATACGACAAAACTGCCACATGATTAAGGGCAACTGGATGAAAACAGCTTGTCAAAAATCATGCCCGAAACCGCTCCTCATGAGCACATCCTGGCAGAACTGAGGACCCCAACGAACATATCCAAACCTTCTCCAGTGTTTCTCTGTCAATTCCATGTCACTTTTGGTCTGAGTCTGAGGTACCCCAGAGCCCCGCCGATCTATCTAGTTCATGCGTACGTGACACCCTGTCTACCATGTGGTGGCCGGATCACGTTGGCATCGCTAAGCCACGTCTCCAAGCCTCCGCCTACCTCGATGATCGAAAACAGTGCAGCAAAAACACCTCCGGCACTACCTGGACCTTCCAAGGGGTGTCCTGTCTGGAGATCCATACGTAGTGTAGGGGCTTTCATTGGTGAGCCTTGGAAGGTGCTGGTAGCTCTTTGGTGTTCCTTTGTTTTCTTGTGTGTCTTGTTTTTGTTCATCGCATCCCACTACCTCAACTACCACCCTCCCCTGCTTCGGGCGCCGCTCCACCTGCTCCACCTGCTCCTTCAGCTTCCAGAGCTCCTTGCAGGGTTGCGCACATATAATTTCAACATAAATCCGGACAACATCAACGATGCTCTCATAGCTTCAGCTGCTTGGGACAGGTTTGCGATGCAGTTGGATCCGTTTTTTTCGCGGTGAAGGCGGCTCACCAAACGTCTCAGTGTGCTGGAGCCCACCAGCAAACATGCCCTCCATCCTCTTCTAAGCACACGTGCACAAAACACGCGCACTTTAAACAAGTGAGGCAGCACTTGAAGTGACTTTGACTCTTTGGACACTTATAGGATCTCCGGAGAGGTCCTGAGGCCTTGCTTTTTCCCACACCAACCCGGATCTCCTGCTCCACGGCCTCCACCCGCGCCTGCAGGGGCGCGGCCTCCCACAGGCTCTGGGACACCTGCGACTCCAGTGGCTCCAGGCGTTCGAGCACGGCCTGCGAACGAGCAGGGAGCCAGCTTTGGGCCACCTGGAACCAGTGGGGGAGCCAGGTAGGGGGCCTACCTGGGACCTGGAAAGTTCCATGTGCAGGAGAATGGGAACTGGAAAGCTTATGACATGGACCCCCTTAATTTGGCCAATGGCTACAAAGTCCCACAAATTGCCCTTAACCCTGGGGGGGGTCCGCTTAGACAGGATGGTGGTCTCAATAGAAGTCTACTTTTCATGTGTGCCTGGATTTGCTCATAGACCTGGAGACCAACTGCACTCTTACTACCAACTGTAATCTGTATATCAAAGCTCACACAGTGGATTTGTGGAGGATCTTTCAGGACCGGTGAGACATCGTCTTGAGCAATCTGAATCAAGACTTCCACCTTTACGGGTTCCAACTCACCAGTGACCACCTGCTTCTTCCTGCGGGTCGCCTGCATCTGCTTGGGCACCTGCTCGATTCGTGTCTCTACAGCGTCCTTGGCTTTGGGGCCAGGACGAAAAACATGCAGCTGGTACACCCCGCAGCAACTGGAGACATTCAGTTCTCCATGCAAAAATATGGGTTTGATATGCTTTCATGTGTCCTGAAAATCACGTTCTTTTTTTTTTCCATGTGCGGCCGGGCCCCAAGGGCCTAAGCCCAAGCACCCAAAACCATCCAGTGAAGCTAAAACCAGTGAAGCACTGAGATCATCCCTTAGTGAAGATATGTTAATATATTTTGATTATATAGTGACCCTATGTGACCCTGCAAAGAACCATTGAAGGATGCAGGAAAGAAACTGCCTGAAGATCCTGAAGGTTTTTGGCTCCCTGTTTAACCAGGGCTTTTTGGTATCCGCAGTAAAACTGGCAGGAAACCAAACACAACCAACGCAAAATGACACCAAGCAAGTCACACAAATCCATACAGTAGGGATCCAAGTACCTTCTCAGAAGGTGATGGGAGGCATAGGTTTGGAGGGTCCAAGTACCTTCTGAGAAGGTACTTGGATCCCTATGGATAGACTCTCGGATAAACATCATCGTGGGATACGTGGAGTTCACCACCTCAAACAGGTCATCCGAACTCGGGGATCCACGTCGCCCTGATCAGTCATCGCCAGGATTTCCCTGATCCAACTGCCTGGGCCACTAAATCCACTACTTCAACTGTGATGACACCATGATTTCAGGGAGTGTAGTGACCAACTTCGGATACGACTCACTCCGACCGTGCCCGCACCACCCAGCGGCCAAGCGGAGCCGCAGGCCAGTGCCCCCGGCATCCACCAGTTGCGAGAGCTCCTCCTGGGTCTCCTGGTGTGCCGCTGGGCAGTAGGGGCGGGTGGCGCCACACCCGCAAGTGCGCCATCTACAGGAAACTCAAGGGATCCCAAGCAGACTACATGTGCATTTGTTGAGTGTGTATGTGTGTCTGTGCGTCTGTCTCTGTCTGTCTGTGACTTTCTTTACAACCCTCTTTGAACAACCCATCTCATTACGTCGAACACCGCTGAAGGTCTTTACACCCTGGGCCACCGAGTCCCGAACCTGAAAACCACTGGGTTGGTACTGAACCTTGCAGGTCCATGCCAGGTTTTGTTCAATGTGGGTCTCTGTCTTCCATAGTCATTTCTGTCTTCAAGTGACTCGACTCATCTCCTTCAGTGCCGTCCAAATCTGTGTGCTGGGCGAACCGGTCGCCTCGAGGCGTTCCAAACGGCTCTTGAAGAGCTGCATCTCCCGGCCCCTGGCAACTGCAAAGGCACCGAGCTGGGAGCTGAGCAAATGGAGAGCTAAATAGTCGTGGCACGGTGTCTAGTGGGGATCTACGAACTTCTATCTATTATTTGGGGGTCTACAAAAGACAAGCACTCAAGTCATTGAATGGTGTTTAATCAAATTTTTGAATTGATGTCAGAAAGTGTCGAGAGTGATGCATTGGTTTAAGTCGTATGTTTAAGTATTATGGTATCAACCAGGTTTTCACGGTTCCATCATGTTCCATCCTTTTCACGGGCGGTTGCAGTTACTGTTACTATTGGATGTAATTTTCATTGCATCAGCAAACATTGATGGATGATTGATGGGTGATGGACGTTGATGAACAAACTTTAAACAATCTTTGAAATGAACTTCTTGAGGTTAAACACCTCCTCTAACCAACTCATGCGACCTTGGTCATGCCGCAAACCGAAAGAAGACCTCGCGCAAACCTCGGGTGCTTCGGACTGTGCTTCGGTTCGGTGCTTGCCTGACTTCACATTCATCGGTGAGGCTCTGGTTCCACCGCTGCTGGTGCTCCTGGAGCCCTTGAATGTCCTGACCAAAAAAAAGGAACATGGACAAAGTCCATCACGTGCCTGGTTGTCTGGACCTCAACAAGGGGAGTTGGTTTACCGACTTGATGCCAACAAATGTCCCTACAAGGATCAAGCGATGTCAAGCCTGGATGCGGCCACAACATGGGAAATGGACAGTAGCTGTAGCTGTCCAGTAGCTGCTTCGCCTGCTACATAAGTGTGTACGGGGGTGGAATGCAACCCCGGTATACCCCTAGACACAAGTGACCAATACAGTAAGCAATTAGAACAGCAAAGGAGGTACCCTACATACAATCCAAAGCGGTTGCTGTCACGCAGTGAAATAAGAACCCAAGTACAACGGTTGCGATGCACAACAAACAAAATAACTATTATACAATCAATTACAAAAGGAATAGTAAAAGGAATCCTCCCAGGAACCCAGATTTGTTTTGGTAGTTCATTATAGAGGCCCGGGAGGGCCCTTACGGAAATTGAGATCCAACATATTCCAACATGACGTGTTAAAACGTTAAACCTCGTCATGTTCGTTCCTCTCTTCGGCCCTAGATCCCACAATCCAGCCACCAGTTCTGACTTTAACTTAAGGATCAGCGCGCAGCAACTCCAAGTTCGACTCGGCGACTTCTTCCGTCCTCGGAGACCGAGGCCACGAACAGCCACGGGGGGTGCCCAGCTTGGGAGCACGAGCAAGCACGTGCAAGAAGGGCGCATGCGCACGAGACCGCGACCGAGAGTTGACGCAGCGACCGGAGGTTCACAGCGAAGTCTCCACCATCCTGCGCCTCAACTGACTCAGACCACCAGCACGAGGGGCCCAGTGGATGTGGCTCGGAGCAGGATGCCATGGGCCGACCGGAGATATAACATGATATAAGTTCTGCCTTTCTATTTTTTTCCTGTTTTAGGTGCGCAATACCGTATGGCATGACAAACTTGGCACGGAAGCCCCACTGCGGTGGAGGTCGCCGGGAAATGCGTTGGAGGGATGCTGTTGAAGGGTGTCTGTTGTGTGATGTGGAAGTGCTTGGAAGAGTTCGGGGGCTTGCCAGGTGGCGAGGCATCCCTTGAAGTAAAGTTGAGGGGCAGAAAAACCCAAAGGTTTTGCAGTTCGTGGCTCGGCGTGGTGCAAAACGATCTGATCGCCAAGTTCCATCAGAGAGCGGCGCGGTGAATCTGGGTTCGGTGTGGAGGGGCTGGATGTGGGATGCTCATTGGGTGGTGAGGAAGGGATGGCGGGAAGCCATGGTGTTTGAGCCATTTGGTAAATGCAGTGGTGAAAGTATCAAAGTACAGGCGCTTGGTAGGAAACAAGTTGCTGTTCATGTTGGCATCCAGGAAGCGTTGTAAATGGGATGGTAGTGCTAAGCCCGCAAGTGTCAGGACATAATGGCCATCGGTGCGTGGGTGGGTGGGTTGCCGAAGTACGGTCTGGAGATGTTGGCAGCCGCAAGGGAGCTGTTCCTCGTGAGGAGGAGTATACGGTGGGCTGCGTCCCGAGGCTTGCAAGTGGGAAGATACAGTAGGGGCTTCCTAGGTCGGCGATGGATCGCGGTCAGCCACGGTGTCGAAGTGGTCGTGATGGGCCAAGAGGGGAATAGTGAGTGGCTGGTTGGACTTGGGTGGAGTGAGGTTGCGGAACTTGAGTGCTTGGTTGATGATGTGGATTGCCTTGTTTCGGCCGGGTTCTTCAAGGCTTGCCGCCATGCGGCGGATGGCATAGGCATAGATATGCATATAGATAGATAATAGGAAGTTCGGGATGTTTTTGTTTGATTGCGAGGTGTGGTGAGGACGGCTTGTTGCTTGTGAGATGCGAATAGGATTGGATGGCCGGTGGTGTGAAGCCGCCGTCGAAGTTGCGGCAAAGACGGTGATGGTTGGATAGTCTGTGTGTCGAGCAAACTGCCAACCTTCGGCTTTGCGGCTTTGAGATGGAGGTGTTTGGAAAAATGAAGGGCCAGTGGATGACAAGATCTCTGGCAAGGCATCCCCCAGCGGGAACACCGCCGTGCCCTGTCCAACAACACACCCATTTCAGCAGAGCTTTTACTCCGCTACTGGCACTCCACCAACACCATCACAAACCCCAGACGCTCCATGTATGCCATATATCTGCCTACATTGGGGTGGTTTGGGGGGTCAATGTAGGCATACATTCCAGTCCCATGGAGTGTATGGGAACTACTCCACCATCTGTCCACCCATCCTGACGAATACTCCCAAGCAACGAACACCACCAACACCTCCACACCCAATGAGGTAGAGCCAATGCGTGGCGTGTGATGTAACGGATGAAATGTAGCTTGAGGTACACAGAGTTGGGAGAGAAACCCGCTGTAGTGGTAATTGTGAGGTGATGCCTTCATTTGGTTCGGTCTCGCATGAATACAACAAAGGGCTTCAGATTTTGGAAAGAGCTGCCTCCTGAGTGACGTCCCAGCACTCAGGCAAGATGTTTTGCAATCGCATAAAAGCACGCGCGTGAAAGCGGACTGACAAAGCACACCCATGGTTTTACAACAATAATATTGCTCTCGACTCACAGAATTATGCATATACTTGGTGTTGCCTAGGGGTTTCTCGGTTTCTTTATCTCTGGCTTGGTTGTCTCTTTTGGTGCTACTGGTTCCTTACAAGTTGCTTAGTTTGCCTTGAACCCCCTTAAAAAAAAGAAACACACATTCACACATATAATTGTTCTCATGTCCTCGTCTCATCCTGAAAGACACGCGTGTGACGTGATCCCGCCCAGGCGAAGCACAGGTCAGTCCGAGCGAGGAGGAACATCCAAGAAGTGCATGTCATATGTCATCTCTACATGCTGAAGAAACTAACTTTCTGTACCACCCGCTTTAATATCCAAACACTCCATGGGTGTATTTACCTACATTGGGGTAGTTCCAGGGGTCAATGTATAGGTTTACAATGGTTTATAAGATACCCGTGTCGATACAGGGTGGGGGGTCCAAGATCAGATTCTATAGCCATAATGCAAAGTCTTGCCTATTGTTTTCTATATATTCTCTAAGATTTCCAGTTCATAGGTCTTCTTGCCAAGGTGCGTTCCTTTGAAGCCACTGACAAAGAGCGATTCAAAGGCGAGACTGAAATTCAATGATGCACAATAACACACACATATCCTCTATAAAATTGGCACCCAAGCCCCCCAACAAGGGTACCTCAAAACGTTTTATGGTGTATGTTGACCCCCCTCATTTTATAGAGGAAATGGTCATGGGTATTTTATAAGTATGCCATGTATGGAGTACTTGACAGGCGCTTGTTTCTTCCACCACCTCCCCTGCCAAAGGTGCCATAGGTGCGACGGGTCTCTTTTTCCCAGGAAACCGTTGCAAAGCCAAGGCTCATGCACGCCATGGTTGTACTCTTGATCTCTGCGTGCTCAGCCTTCCTTTGAAGCAAACAAACGCATGTTGACCAAAAGCCCGTCGTAAAAAATTGGACTTTCTCAGGAAAGCCACGGCAAGAAATCACTTTTGGAATACGTGTGATACGAAAATCGGGCAATGTGCTTTTGGCCACCCTTTTCGGCGAACTAAAGCTGGCGGTCCCAAAGAATTAATTCAACTGTTGTGGTGCGTGGCTCTGCAAGGAACAAACAACACTTCCATGCCGCTCTGCGAATCTTAAACGCTGCATGCACAAGCATCATGTGCTAAACCAATCCCCAATGACTTTGTTCATCCTTCTTTATCCTTGTTCAGTGGTCAATTGCAAGGATCCTTGACCGCATCGACAGGAAACACACACAAACTACCACGGGATAAAGGTTTTTGGTGTCCCCAGTCTTGCCAAGCTTCAAGGCATTCAAAGCCTCCTCTAGCTCACGTTTCAGCTCCTCTCCCAGCTGCGTCCTCTGCCCAAGTCGGAGCAAAGTCGACCAAAGCAACCCATCTGGTCATGACACTTCACTTCAAACATCTTCAATCCAATAAACCAGGTAACCAGGGATAATAACCGTAATAACCAGCTCCTTGTTCATGTTTCACAAGGGTTTGCTCACTCATGAAGGCTTTACCACTTTACAGTAATTGAGATGGTTCTGCGACTTTGGAAGGACCACACTCGCACTCAATTGAAGCTCAGCATCCAAGAGGACTGGCATTCCTCATGCACCATGGCTTGCAGCTGCTCCAAGCATTGAAAGTCCACCTTGGCGGACGGCACATGCAAATCATGTCCACAACTGATTGTGTTGAACTCATCCTCCAGGCCCAGGTTCAAAGAGTTGTGAGCACCCCCCCCCCACCCATTCATACCCAACTTCGATCACCACCAGGCTGCCACTTGCCCTTGCATGCCCTGCGCGGTGTTCTTCTTCTCCAGCTTCGCCAAGCGGTCCTCCGCCGACCTCGATGACGGCGACTGCGACTCGTTACAAACCAAAATGAGCGCCACTCTTAGATTCGTTACCCTCCCCCAACAATGGAATGTGGACAGCCCCCTCGCCCCCCTCGTTTCTGGATTGCCACGTCGTTGGAAAATAGCTAGGGATGTGTGGTTGGGAGACCAGGTCCTGCCAAACCTTTGACAGCTGCTAAACTGCTAAACGCCAGGCGTCGCAAACTTTGAGTTGTCAACCAGCCGGCAAAACCCAGAGAAGATTCAAGTAGCATGATCATCATGATCATCTTCCAGCATCCTCCCCCATGATCTACCAGCCAAGGTGGGTCAGAACCCGAACGTTCGACTATCCTAGTTCGGTACCCCTGGTTACGGGTCCGAACGTTCAGGTCACTGGCTACCTCGAGTAGGTATGCCCAACCGGAGCCCAACATCTCATCTCGTCATCTCCCGTCCGACGAGGTCGAGGACGACCGTGATGACAATCCAGGACGACCGGTCGGGATAGCGGGCTGACAGGTCGTTGTCAACGTCGATGTAGAAGGAGGAGAGTCTGAGAGGGCATCTGCGCCAGGCACAGCTCAAAACCCTTTTTGGGGCTCCAATTACATATCTCCAGTTTTGAAGATGGTTGGGGTGGGTGCCAGGGCGGGTCTAACCACCTTCTGAGGATCCGGTTAGAGCCTCAAGGAAAAAATTGTGGGGAACCTTGCTGAAAGAGCCTCAACCCGGGACCCAAACCCTCGCCACTCCTGTAAACCCTCGCCATTGATACAGTGTACATCAGGCCAACATCTAGAATCTATACCGCCCCTCCCGGACCCAAATTCAGCCAAAATGACCTCAAATCGGCCTGGCAAAGGAACAAGCATTCATTCGGAAGGACTCTCAACAAGAATGATCTTCTAGTGACACCCCCCGCAATTTAAGAGTCTGACGCCATCAGGTAGCTAGTTATACTGTATGTAGTTCCACCCCATGAGAAATCCCAATGCCGCAGATATAAGAAACTGTCTCATTAATGATTATCTACATTACAGTAAGGTATATAGTATATACCAAACGACCACCTTGGATGTTAAACAATGGAACACAACCCAAATTCTTTTAAATGACACCCCACAGCAAAAAGGCGAACATAACATTAGCTAGAACACCCACGAGTAGGAACTAAGACGGAACTATATTCATTTAATCTTTCCCAAACACTCCATGGGACTGCCATATATGCCGATCAGTTGGGGTGGTTTGAGGGGTCAATGTAAGCATATATGACAGACATGGAACGTCTGGGTTTTTCACTCCCACGCCTTCCTTTGAGCTCGAACGCCCCGCCCGTCGGAGACATCGCGAGACGGCCTGCAAACGCTGTGCCCAGCATTGAAGCTCCCGTGAGAAGGTCTCCTGATGGATTCCACGCGGTTCGGGAGCACGGGAGCAATGGCCATGACCATCCATGGGACTTGCACTAGAATAGTTCGACCGATAGTTGCATACATTTACTCCATGTTCACCAAAACTTCATCTCATCTTAACATATGTTCTGTTCACTGTTCTCTATTATCTATATATTCATCTCGATTCTCTATTCCAAGATCTATTTATGACTCATGACCCATCCATGCAAGTAACTATTCCAGGCATGGATGGTCTGGGAAATGCGAGAAAACGGGAGCATGACAAATTCTCCACCGGAATCGCTTGCGATGACCAGGCTTCCATGCAGACCGCCGGGTGGACAGAGAGTTCCGGCCAGTGGAGTCTAGTGGAGCCGCTTCCAGGGTTGAACAGAGTTTGATCTGGTGATGGGTATGCTGCGGATTCTAGGTATGGATTGGATAGATCATATGGGTAATTAATGGTAATTAGAGCATCCCCATCACTCTCATTGTAGGCTCTCAATTCATAAAACCTCAACAACAAAAGGTACCTGGACTGGATGGTCCAACGACCTCTTTCTATGTTATGTGAGTTTCTTTCCCTTCTATGTTTTGAGGAGTCAACACGTGTCAAGATATGTCAAGACGACTTCCTGTACCTCTTCTCCCGTACCTGGACGGTCCAACAACCTCTTTCTATGGAGGTATGTATGAGTCAACAAATGTCAACAAAACTTTTCCCTAGGGCTCCTGTCCCATCTCCTCACTCCTCAGGTTCGGTGGTACCCCCAAAACCACCCACACCTCACCCACCGAACCGAAACGGAGGTGGGACAGGAGCCCAAATGGGTTTGTTCCATTGCTTTGACCCCCTCCCCTTGGGGGAGTCCGGACCCAGGACCTGGGGAGACCTGCGACCCGCAGACCCCGAAGACCCAACAACCAGAGGGTGTGGCAGGGTGTGGACTGGAGCACCAAACAAATACCCTCCCTGAAACAATCGATGGATGAAAGTGGATTACATGGAATGCAGCCGATTCATAGAGGAGTTCAGTGTTCTTTTTGGGGCCATGTTCCACGTACCACGTAAACCATGTTTGTTGGATGGAGGATCTCTTCTTCATGGAGGGATGTTGTTTGTTGGAGCTCAAAGATCTCTTCAGCCCAAGAGATCTCTTCTTCAGTCTTTACGGCCCCTGTCGACCCGAACAGGTGGACGGGTCCGACCGTGTCGACTCGTTCGATGTCGACTCGCCCCTCGATCGATCGACTCCAAACAGGCTATAACCCATCGACCCGAACGATGCCGAGTTCACGTGCCGAACGCCGGCGGGTCTCCTGAAGTTCTTTCACACTGATCAGCTCTTCCGGCTCGGCCTATTCCGACCGCCCGGACGCCGAAGACGGCGGCTGGCCGTCTCCGAAGCGGAGGCGAACCATGGGCCAACTGGACGGGACGGGGGGGAACGCATTACTACGGTGGTTTATGGTGGGTTTCTCACTGTAGTTCATGAAGAAAATTGACCTGCTAAATACCATGTATAAGGATCTGGAAGGTAGTCCAACTCTTGTCGGGTAAGCATCCGGTCTTGGTCCTTCTGAAAAAACAAAACACATGGACCTGGAAGCCACAACCATTCAGAACGCAGTGACAGTGACAATGCCACATCCATGTTCATACTGCATTCTTTTAGGTCTGTTCTTGTGTTGTTTGGCCTTTGGATGCCTTTGGATACCTTTGCAAAGGTTAAGGTTATAAGCCCCCCTAACAACGAAAGATGCCGGCCAACTGGTTGCTGCATAAGCCCGGGCCTTCATTCTCCTCTCAGCCGACTTCAGCATCACGCCGTCCGGATAGCGCGCACCCTCCATGGCAGATTCCAGTCTGAAGGACGTAACGCCCTGCTCCGACCAAGCAACACGTCAAGTGTTTTGATTGAATAGCGAACATCCGATGAATGCATGTGTCGAACACTAAATGTCACTAAATAAGTGTGTTCAAGCAATACACACATGTGGAGTCCCTTTGCCAGCAAACTGCCCAATCAATGCGGATGGAGCGTACGCATGCGAATGCACTGACACTACACAGGGGCACAGCTCTGGCCAAGCTGCATGGTCATGAACATCGACTCCCTTCCATGACTTCAAACAGAGTTGGGTCGATAGAAGGCAAGCTGGCAGGGTTTGAGCAGTTGTTTCATATGTTTCTGCTCCTGGATTTGGTGTTGTCACCCTGCTTCATGGCACCTCATGGCCGGAAAAGCAGCACCGTGAAACCATGTGAAACCCAACCTCCCAGCGCCCGGTCCTCCCGGTCATCGCCCCTCCAGTCCGGTCCAGCTGATCTGGCCAGGGAGCTTGGCATGTTCCTCGAGGTTCTTCTCACCGCAGGCCACGCACATGTCCTTGGCGAGGCCGGTGGATGTTCACCGAGTCAACGAGGTGAACAGCTGTCAAAAGGGGTTGAGTAAGGCACGTGGGTTGCCGTTGAGCTGCTTTTTTTTAGGGCATGGCCCTTAGTTCTGCCACTGTCCGGCTTGAGCCTCCAAGAATCCAAGAACCTTCAAGAAATCCAAGCCGTTAGCTAGCCTCTATGACTCCGCCATATATGGCGGCCATGGATCCAGAAGGCTGCACTAACATGCATTGCTTCATCTTAAGAGCCGTTAAGAGGCACCCGCAGGTACACTGATGCACTGATGTACGGATGCACCCGCAAGAGTACTAACCTTAAGAGCCATTGATATGTTTTGACGTCCACCTTCCTCAAGCGCCCGCTATCGCCCTCGTCGCCCTCTGGCCCCCGAAGTCCTGGCTGGTGCCCTCTCACTCCAGCTGGGACTTGCTCCAACTGAACACAAAGTAACGGTCAACAACCACAGACGTCTGGCCATACCCACTCACCTTGGACCAAGCCATGCGACTTTAGCCAAGCCCAAACGTCTCTAAAAAAGGTGCAGTTCGCCCAGATCTGGAGGTATTGGGGGCGTCCCGTCACGTCTTCGAACGCCCCGAAAAGAAGCCTTCCATGATGAAGCTCGTATTGCCCGACATCTCTTCGAGCGCAGTGGCGCTAATTGTGCCACAATGCTTGGCACATCGGTTGCATTCAGTTGCCCCGTGGCGGCCAAGGGTCTAAAATGGAATCCCGTGAGGGCCAAGTTTTCATCTCCTGGCGGGTGAAGGCCGCGGTCGGCAAGGCATGGACCCGGTGCCCGGTCTTGCGGATGTGGCGTTTGGTTCTCAGTGGGTCGACATGGGATTACAAGAGTCCCAGGGAGTTCTTTGATCTTCCCCAACGGCTCCAAGTACCTCCTCAAAAGGTATTTGGACCCTCCAAACCCACCCCAAATACCTTCTCAGAAGGTACTTGGAGCCCTGGGGCTTCTCAATTTTTCTCGCGGGATTCTCAAAGAAAATCCAGGTGCTTGGACACGTTTCATCTTGTTTCATCAAGATATATGTTTCATCTCTTAGTGTTTGCGTGCAGTTCTGTGCCTATTCCCCACTGGAAAATGACAATTAGGTCAGCAAGGACCAAGGTGGGACACCATGGGCCTTGGTTTAAATGTCTGGAAGTCAAGCGATTCCTTGTGGACCGGGGAGGACCACCCAACTGAAGGGATTTGTGACAGGTTCTGAACGATGCGCTATGAACAGAACCCCTCCCCCTGTCTTTTGGTCAACGCATCGATCTGCAAAGTACTACAACATGGCACCAACGGTATGGCACCAAACCCTAGGGCTCCTGGCCCATACCGTCAGGTTAGCTGGTTAGGCCCCCCAAACCCACCATAACCATCTTCCCAGGAGGTAGTTGGAGCCCTAGGGAAACAACAGTGACAGGGGGTTGGTGGTGAACCTTTCACTGAAAAACCCTGGAGCAAAGGGTAGCAAAGGTGCCATCAAGACTCCTGGTCAGCTCTCTGCCCGCCACCATGCTTGTGTCAAGCCACCCCTTTCCGAACGAATTCGTTGGATCCCGATACAACAAACTGCGACAGTCAGGCATCATACACACTGTGGAGAAAGGGGCGGGGATTCTGTCACAAGTCACAAACCACACCAAGACTGGTGAATCCTGTTGTTTCCTGGTGGCAAGGGATCCTCTTGGGCTCCATCCTGCCTCCCCCTGTCGCAACCCGCCGCACCCGCCTCTGGCGCGTGCGCCTGGGGGTCCAAATATTCCGGCACATAGGTGCCCTGGCACAGAAGACATCCAGGAAAAGTGATGCTTTTGGAACACCTTTAAACTGGAAGGTCTCCTCATATCCTCCCAACATCACCCTCATCAAGCCCCAGTTCTTCGCTATTTGTTCGGCTAGCGATAGCTGTAAAGTCAGTCAACACAGTGTTGAAATCATTCCGATTTTACCCCTGCCTCCCTTGACCCTATACGTCCCTACCGTCAGGTCCAAGCTTGCAGGTGCAGCCGCTCGTCGCCGCTCTCAGTGCACTTCCCACACCACAAATCCTGATCGCCTGCCACGATCAACCTACGGCACGCCACGGTGTTCACCCAGGCCTTTATGCCGCGCATGCACACCGTGCCGTCCGTGCCGTGTCTATACGTAGAACGCCACGTCGCTTGGACGCTTGGATGCGTCCAACGCCACCGTCCGGGCGGTCGCCTTCTCGGTTTGCAGCTTCGTGGTCTCGTTGGCCACGTCGCGCCAGGTGGTTCCGCCCCAGGACTCGACGCCTCGTGGCCGCCGAAGCGGGTGGCCAGGCGGTCGTGGGCTTGGGCCAGGAAGGCCATCGGACTGTAGACTCGTGGATTCATACTTCCCCCTCGAGTGAGGTGTAAAGACTCTTCAGGTTTTTAAACAGGTGTTTGCTGAAAAAGCGCGTCTACATATTTAGAATCTGTGCATTTCTTTGGCCCCTTGGGTGGCTTTTGGGTGGTTTTGAGATGGATTTCTTGGCCGATGTAGTTCCCTGTCCGATTGGCGGGCCCGGACCGAGATCTCGACGCGTCATGACGCCTTCTGAGGTGGGACTGAGTGCCGAGGTGGGGCTGCTGAAAAGCATATGGCAATTTGACAGGTGCTCCTGAGAGATTTTTTTGTGCAGAACATGTGCAAAAACACTGTTTTACAGTTTCCGTGGTTTTTGGATGAAACATCCAAAACCTAGGGGGCAGGATCGTGCACCCCATGATGTAAGGCAGCCGGTCCAACCCTCCTGAATTGGTCAACGGTCTAGATGTTCAAAAGCCGAGCATCGTTCCAAAATGACAAAGTTTTCACGCTTGTGCCTCCCGCAGGCGCAAAAAAGACACACACCCGGTGTTGGGCCTAGCTTTGAGGGCTTTTGACAAGAATCACATTGAGGAACTAAAGCAAGCATGTTGATCCAAAGCTAGGCCCCCAGAAACCATGGACTCGTGGTTCATCAATAGCGAACCGTTCTGTTCGTTGGTGGGATGTGAGTCTCCCCAGTGCTACTTCCCAGAAGGGGGGTCCCTTGTTGTGGTTGCATTTTCTCTGTGCTTCCAGCTTCCATGCCAGGCTTCCATCTTGAATGCTTCACGACATACGGAATGGCTAGCTTTATCTCCGGCAGGGCCCCTCCTTGAGAGGGGCTTTCCCACCACTCTCTTCGCGAGATAGGGGGGCCCTTAAGAGTGGCAAGCCTGGTGGCCAAAACCAAATAAAACAGTATCGATCTATAGTTTATAAAGACCTTCAGTGGCCAAGGATAAAGCACAAGGATTCAGATTTGCATCTATACCCTCTGATCTGAACATCTATATAACCCACCACCTGCAAGACAAAGTCCGAGCAACTTCCGAAACCCAAATTATTTGAGGGTTAACATGTGTTAGAGCAAGATGATTCAACATCACTACAGTGCGCTGGGAACCTAAACCTAGAACCGTTAACCAGCTGTTTGAAAAGAAACCATGTCCAAGCTGGTCGATTTCCAGCTCCAATCTTGTCACTTTCCGAGTGTCTTCAAACATCTTCAAACTGTTTCATGACTTTCCTTCCCCCCTACTGTCGCTCCTTCCCCCCCAACTGTCTTTCCTCCCAGAAATCGACCACCACCACCCCGCCAACCGCCCAGACGCCACACGAACCGCAACCTCAGGAAGTCCAAGCCGGTCATGAGGCCACCCATGCCACCACCCAAGATCGCGATGGGGTGCTCATATTCGCCTCAGTGACAGTCGATTTCTCGTGCGTTTCTCCTGCGTTTCGAAACACTCCGTCTCCAACCACTGACCACCCAAGAGTTTGGATGTTTCTGCTGCGAACGGTTCCTTTAAAGCGGCCTTTTGGTCGCCTTGGGATCGTGGGACCGTGGGACCGTGGACCAAGAGCGGAACCAGCTCGCCTCTTCAGGATCACCACCGGCAAGAAACCAAAGGCTTAAGCACTAACCCCTGGAACCGTACCCTGTTGGGGTGGGGTGCCGGGGTGGGTCACAACGATGTTTGAAAGAAACAACTTCTTCCCTTGAAGGTTGCTCACCACTTCCCAAGACATGCGGACACATGGCTGTCAGCTTGGTGCTGCAGGGCGTGCTGCTGCGCCATCACAAGAAGTTGGATGGAGATGGGATTGTCGCACATCGTGGCAAAATCATCTGGCTTATGGTGACTGAGTAGTCAACAAATCTCTAAGAAGATCTAAGAAGGGGATCTAAGAAGGGGGAAATCACCTTAGTCCAAATCAATCCCTAGGGATCCAAGTACCTTCTCAGAAGGTACTTGGACCCTCCACACCTACATAACAGTGTCGAACACATCACCGTACCTGAGGTTCGGTACGACTGGATCGCTAGGAAATGGTTTCACATTGGAGGGTCAGCCTTCCGGCAGAGAACTTCCGGAATGCCAACAGTGCTAAGCCGTGGGTGGCTTCTCGTCTTAGCCCAGCAACGGCGCCCGGCGGGGTCATGGCCATTGGTATAGCCGCCTGAAGGCTATGAAAGCAAGACATACAAAAGCAGCAAACCCATGGAATCAGCGGAAAAACCTCATATTATCATTATCAAACACTCAACAAGCCAAGCTTGCAGCCAAATTAGGGAGCTGAGATGAGCTGAGCACTTAATTTGTATCTTCTAGATTGCATTCAGCACTTCTTGCCCTTCTAGTGTGCCGTGCTGCAGTGCTCAAGTAATGTGACCATCTTTAAAGCAGGATTCCAGAATCCCCCAACCTGACCTGTCCGCCTGACTACCCGTGGTACCCGTGGTGCCGCTTCTGCAGTCCAGTCCTGCAGTCCCTGCCTGACATGGCTCTGGGCGTTGAAGGATCGATCTTGAGCCAACAGCTTCCAGATCCATCAAAACATTCCTTTTCAAAACATCTCTCTCTCTCTCTCTCCCAGCGGTTGAAGAACCCGACCGTTCGACTATCCTAGTTCGGTACCCCTGGATACGGGTCCTATTTACGGTCACTGGCTACCTCTGTAGGTCTCTCTCTCTCTCCATCGCCCTCTCCAAGAGTTAGGCAAGTTGGATCCGTTTGGCTTAAGCGAGCGGCCAGCCCAAGCATACATCTGTTCGCAACATTAAGCGGCCACCCGGCGCCCTTCCAGTGACTCTCCGTCTCTCACCAGGGTGGCTGCTAAGGATTTGATGGGTATAATAAATATAGATATAAATACACCCTCGAAGACTAACATGGACCCTGAAAACCACTGGCTGGTAGAGGAAAACACTCTTCCAGGGGGCCATTGTCAGGGTCTATGTTAGTTTTCGGGGTCTATGAAGAAGAAGCATCCATAGATATCCATATTATATATATATATATGTTGATGCGCCCAGCATGATTCGCTTGTTCGGCATTGGATCGTTCGCAGGGACCGCTTTGCTCAGGCGAGAAAAGGCGTCAGCGTGCCCTTTTGTGTTGGTAGGATCCAACCCCGTGTTTTGACATTGGTAGCGGAGCCTCGGTGTGAAACACCGGGGCTCCCGCTGGTAGGACCCAGCTGGATTTGCGCCCAGCATTCATGCCATGGCTGTTTCCTCCGCTTCGGACTCTCAAGGTCTGAAGTACTTCAGCGGTGATGCTGAAGATCCCAAGGAGTACAAAAGGTGGCGAACGTGGGTCACCAACAAACTCCTGACGTTGGGTGACAAGGTGCCTGAGAACGCCAAAGGCGCCTATGTGTACACGCTGCTGTCCGGAAAAGCACTGGAATGCATTGAACACCTTGACCCTGCAGTGTACCAGAAGACCAACGGCGAGAAGGCCTTGTTCGACTTGCTGGATCAACGGTTTCCGCAACGTGACCAATCGGATGAGATGTCCGAGATACTGCAAGAAGTGTTTCAGATGAGGGCTGTTGAGGGAGAGTCACTCAAGACTTGGGTGTCTCGTGCCACCGAGCTTTTCGACCGGCCGATCGCAAAGTACAAGTCAAATTCCCAGAAGAAGCACGAGGCTGGCTCATTTTGCACCGGTCTGGACTCAGCGCTGAACAGAAGGCTGTCGTTTTGTCCCGCTCTATGGGTTCATTGAAACGTGAAGATATTGGCAAAGCCATGCGTTCGGTATACCCTGAGTTCGTGGTCAGCAAGCGACATGCCAACAGCGTGGCCTTGATCGAGGAAGACTCTATTAGTCCCGAGCTGTCTTTCGAGGCCGACGAAGTGGATCCAGAACTGTCAGAACTCGAGCAGTTTTTAGCAGAGCATCAGGTTGGCGAGACACCGGATGAGGCCTTTGAGGAACCTGATGTGGCTGAGGCCTTAGCTGTCTCATGGCGCGAACGCCGCAAGGAGATGACTAAGCTTCAACGAGCTCGCAAGTTTACCCAAGCTGGTGACATGAAGAGAAGCTTCAAGGTCGAGATCGAGGAGATGAAGCGCAGAACGAAGTGTAACAAGTGTGGCCAAATCGGCCACTGGGCCAGAGAATGTAGATCTGCAAAGGGCTCAGGCAAAGGTCACAAGAACAGTTCAGCACCGTCCTCGGCATCACAATACCGAACGCCCGAGAACGGTGTGGCAATGGTTGAAGAGTTCATTGCTACAGTGAGCATTGTGACACCTCCTTCATCATCATGGTTGTCATTGCAGTGGTTGTTGAACAAGCGTGCAAATGCGGTGACGGCACCATCTGAACCCGTCGCTTCCAGTACAGAAATGCTCCTGGTCAGCTCTCCTGGCTGTGGGGTATTGGATTCCGGATGCGGCAAATCTATCATTGGAGCTGACACCCTGAAGGAGTTTGAGGCCCTTTGGACGGGTCGCGGATGGGAACTTCCTGTCCCCTTCACGGAGACAAATCATTTTAAGTATGGAAACGGCCATCAAGAGACCTCTGAGTTGGCAGTACGAGTTCCTGTTCGGCTAGGCGGCCGAGCAGGCACAATCAAAGTTGCCATCGTCAAGGGCCAGGCGCCCCTTCTGGTCTCACGGAATGCTTTGAAGTCATTGAAGGCAGTGATCAACTTCGCTGACAATGAGCTGCAGCTGTTTGACGATCAGGTCAAGATACCACTGCTGACCAATCAAGCTGGTCAGTACACTGTTGACTTGCTAGGACAGCCCGATGACTCCGCTTTGCAGCCATTTGCCGAAGTCATGATCACGCAGCCATCTAGCACACAGGAGTGTGACACTCCTAACCCTGCTCAGCCGTCCAACGATCCTGAATTGTCATCAAGTTCCACATCGGCCGCAGGCACGGACGAGCTAGCAAGTTGGTGTCGTTTTGATCATGCCGTATCACACGTGCCAGGTTTAGGTAAGCAAGGACCTCTGTGGAGTTCAGTTCGTAGACGGATTGTCACTGATGCATCCACCGGCAAGTGTTTGTTTGATGAGCAGATCAACCCACAACAAGGAAAGAGCACTTACCGTCATGTGCTTGTTTAGCGAAGTGTTGACCGTCCGCACCGAATTCCGCTTTGTGCCACAGGAACAGATGCTCCCTGTTGACGTCATTCCTCCTCATCAGCTGAGGCAGTTCGAGTGTTGTGCATGTGCTCCGTGCCCATCTCAAGGGATCTCACCGGTAGATGGGAAACCCTTCATGGTTGCTGAGGTGTTTTCACCGCCAAGGTTCGCCCCACATGCTGAGTCACTAGGTTTTTCCACACGTTCGTACGACCTCAAAACTGGGTTTGATTTCCGCAAAGCCATCACTCGCCAACAGGTCAGAGAAGAACTCCGGCTGTCTCCGCCGGAACTCCTGATCTTGTGCCCTCCATGTACCAATGAGGGAGGATGGTTCAATTTGAATGTGGCATATATGGACCCTCAGGAAGTGGCCACCAAGCTGGCTCAAAGCCGATTGTTCATTCGATTCTGCTGCCAGCTGTTTCGTCAACAAGTACAAGCAGGCAAACGAGCCTTGTTTGAGCACCCCAAAGGATCCAGACTGGACCTATCCTGAAGTCCAAGCACTGTGCCGAGAGAGCATGAGCTGATCACCTGTCACATGTGTCGATATGGTTTGCATCTCCCTGGTTCCAAACAATTGATTCGTAAGAGTACCAACCTCTTAGTTTCACATGCTGACATGACCTGTTTAGGTAAGAAGTGTCCAGGAGCAAACCATCCACGGCATGCCTGTCACCAGATCATTGCTGGCTCGGCTCCTGGCGTGGGGTCCGTTAGTGTCTTTGCAGGACAATACACTCCTCAGTTCGTGCAAGCCGTACTGCAGACCGTCCCCACGTTTCAACAGTACGAAGCCACCAGCCTGGTGGAATGCGAAGTAGGCACGAATGCCCAGAGACATGAGGTTCTGATGGCAAAACAAGACCTAGAAGCTGAAGAAGCATCCGATGAACAAGTGATGAAAGTACTAGATAGACTACATCGCAATCTGGGTCATCCCCCTAGTCATGATCTGGTCCGAATTTTGAAGCATGCCCATGCCAGTGAAAGAGCCATTGCGCTATCTCGTAAATATGAATGTGAGCAGTGCAAGACACACATCAGACCACATGTCGCCTTGCCGGCAAAGACCAGTCGTGTGTCCGAGTTCAATCACACCATCGGCATGGATGTTAAATACTTGCCAGGTTGGAAACCCAACCAAAAGATTCGTGCCCTTAACATTGTTTGTCATGGAAGCAGCTATCAAATGGTTCTACCTTTTCATGAACCAGAAACAACCGCTATTTTGCGCAAGCTGTTTTTGGAGAACTGGATTCGTGTTTTTGGACCACCTCAAGTAGTTGTTCTAGACCCAGCTCAGACCAACATGGGAGAAGCTTTACAGAATACTCTTGTCTTGTCAGGAACCGAAGTTCGAGTGATTCCGGCCGAAGCTCATTGGCAACTCGGGAAAACGGAAAACCATGGTGGTTGGTTCGCTCGTGTGTTAACCAAGATCATCACAGAACATTGTCCAATCGACCGTGAAACATGGCAAGAATGTGTGGTGCATGCTCATGTGAAGAACTCCATGATTCAGAACTATGGTTACACTCCGACGCAACATGTTTTCGGTCGTAACCCAAGGGTGCCTTCCGACCTTATGGATGAACCGCTGAGTGTTGTTCCTGCCACCGCTGGACTGTCCGATGAGTGTGTAGCTCGAGCGCAATCCATTCGCACGTCAGCACGAAGAGCAGTGATAGAAATGCAAGACAGCCAATCACTGCGTCGGGCATTAGCAGCTCGACCCCGTGCCGTGTTGAACTTTCCTGCAGGTACTCTGGTTGCCTATTGGCGGCAACAGAAGTTTCAATCCGGGGAAGGTGTGATCCAAGGTGGTCAATGGTATGGCACCGCCGTGGTCATTGGGAATGTCGGTCGAAACCTCATCATTGCACATCGAAAACAAATCTTTCGAGTGGCACCTGAACAACTGAGGTTGGCAACTTCCGAAGAACGAGCAACAGTCGAAACCCCTGAAACAGAACTTCTAGGCATCAAGGACATGATCATGGGTGGCACCTTCCGCAGTAAGAATTTCATCGATTTGGTTCCTGGTCACTATCCAACACTGCAACCAGATGATCAGGGTGAACAGAGAGCTGAAACGACAGCCTCCGACGCTCCAGCTGCACAAGAAATTCCTCAGATTGCTCCCACAGGTGAACAGTCAACTCCTAGCCCAAACGTTGACCATGATGTTCCCATGACTGCTGAAGCCTCTAATGCTGAACCGGATACTGCAATGCCAGAAGTCATTGACAAGTCGCCGACGCCCAGCCAAGCGAGCTATGGCCCCATTCGATCCAAGCATCGGGTTCATGAGAAATCAGGAGAAGCAGCCCTCTACCGTCCTCCAATGACTAGACATGAGGACTTCGTTGAAATCATGCGTGAAATTGTTCCACAACTCATCGATCAACAGGTGACAACTTCTTCCGGTTCAAGTAGTGCCTCTGGGATCAAGCGCGATTACCCCGAGACGACTGACTCAACCGAACCTCCAACGACTAGGGCCCGACTCGCTTCGGACGATCAACTGTCGATAGAGGTCTTGTCAGTTCAGGATTGTAATCAACTATGTCAACTTTGGGACAAGTCCAAAGATGTTGAAGTGCTCATTGCTGCCTACCTCCAAAAGCGAGCCGGAAAAGAAATTCCTTCGACAGGGAACCCTCCGCTCTTGCAACAGGCGGTGGACGAGTCTAAACTGGTAGAATGGACCACTCTCATGGAAAAGGGTGCCATCAGAGTTCATACTGGAAAGAAAGCAGCATGGATTAAGACTCATCATCCCGATCGCTTCATGGGTAGTCGATTTGTCATCGTTCGCAAGCCCTTGGAAGAGAATCTTCATTTTGATCCCGAAGATCCGAACACCTTTCGTGTGAAGAGCCGCTGGTGCCTGCAGGGGCACCTGGACCCAGATTTGGACACCAAGCTTCACGAAGGGTTGCTTCAAAGTCCCACATTGAGTCAAATAGGACGAATGATACTTATGCAGGTGATTTCCTCTTGTGGTTGGGATTTGCAGTTAGGGGATATAAAAGGAGCATTCCTAGAGGCAGGGCCCCTGCCTGATCGTTTTCGGCCACTCTACGCCCGCATGCCAGCAGGTGGTATTCCGTCGATCGAAGATGATGCTGTTCTGGAGATTGTTGGAAACGTCTACGGACAGAACGACGCTCCGTCCGCATGGCATCGTACGTTCGACGAAGCCGCATGTTCATTCGGCTGGGAACGTTCGCTGTTCGACCCCTGCCTGTATTATTTGCGCCAAGCCAATAAACTTGTAGGCATCATGGGTGTGCACGTAGACGACACAGCTCTAGGCGGCCAAGGCCAGCTGTTTGAAGATACTGTTCACCAACTGAAACAAAGATTTCCCTATCGCAAATGGAGAGTTCAATCAGGTGAATTTTGTGGCGCCTTTTATGTGCAAGACCCAAAATCCAAAGAGATCTCAATGTCACAGAAGAATTTTGCTGAAAATCTTCGTCCGGCTCACGTGGCCAAGGGAGTAGATAATGAGCAGCTTTTGCCCGACTCGCAGATCCGAGTTCTCCGAGCCATCAATGGAAGCCTTAACTGGATCTCGTCCCAGTCCCGTCCAGACCTGGCCGTACAAACAAGTTTCTCTCAGCAAGTGTTTCCTCATCCATGCATCAAACACCTGAGGGATGCAAACAATGCAATCCGAAGAGCGAAGCAGCACCGGGACCTAAAGATTCAGTTTCGTGCCATTCCGCCTGAAAGGCTTCGAATCTGCTGTCATAGTGACGCTGCTTTTGCGAACGTTGGGACTCACACACAGGCAGGCTATATCTTAGCCTTCGTAGACCAAGGTTTAGATAAAGGTGACATCTCCCCTTGGACTCCACTAGCTTGGAAAAGCTACAAGTTGCCTCGCGCAGTGAGCTCGACGTTAGCTGGCGAAAGCCAAGCATTGGCTACCGCCTCAGGAACTGTTGAGTGGGTCAGTGTGATCCTTAGTGAAGCTCTCGATGGTCAGCTTGAGCCCAGGTTGAGCCGTCAAAGACTGCATGAACGACCACCAATTCTCACAACTGATTGCAAATCATTGTATGATCATCTCATCAGTCCTTCCTCACCCACCGCAGTAGATGATCGTCGGACTAGCATAGACATAGTAATCATTCGAGAGTCAATCAAAGCAACAAAGTCATCTATACGATGGATCCCCACAAATCGTATGCTAGCTGATGCCCTCACAAAGGACAAAATGGATCCCATAGACCTTCTCAGAGCCTGCATGCGTGGTGCCACCTACCAAATTTCCCCTGAACAACATGTGTTGGCTCAACAGGCTGCTGAAAGAGAGTTGCGTGTTCAAAGAAGAAATCAAGCTCTCTCGAAGGAAAAAGGGATGCCTTTCCAGGAGCTCGCCGATGATCGAATTCGATAGGATTTTTAGGTCTTCAGTGAAGTAACAACTTTGCAATGCATGTACTGCCAAAGCAGTTTGAGGGGGCATTCATATGTGTTGTTCGAGACCAAGATTGCAAGCCGTGTACAGTTTGACAGTCCTGCTGTGATGAACTTTAAGGTGATAGTTGATTATTGTCATGGTTTTTGAGCAAGCTTTGAAGGAATCAAGCCGCATATCCCATCACGCCTATTCGTGCCGACGTCATGGCCTGGAGTCAAAAAGACAATGAGCAGCTGAGAGCTTTGCTGCACAAGGCTTCACGCAACGGAGTGAATCCGTTGACAGATCTCGGCTGGGTCGAAGACGACTTTGAGCTCATTGGCACTATGAGTGATGCCTCTAAGAGGCAAAGTGATCAGGGTCAATACCCCATGAACACCAAGTCCGGTCGAAAGACCATGCAGGTGCCAGAGCAGGAGTATGATGTCAAGGGTCCCTCGACTTATGCTGCCAAGAGCGACGAAACCCCGTTTCCGTCCACGACACCAGAGCTTATGTCAGATGTTCCATTGCCACCTGGCATTGTGTCCACCAAGCAGTGGGGCAATACCAAGATCTCCTTCGGCAAGTACAAGTCCCGAAACTGGTGCTACCGTGATTTGATTGAATCGGAAGAAGATGAAGCTCGCAGCTATGTCAAGTGGTGCCGGCCTCGCCTTGGATCCTCGTGCGGAGAGCTAAAGGATTTGATTGCCTACATCCATCGCTTTGAAGCCGAGAGCTCCAGACCAGGTGAAAAGATGGGTTGCCTGATTCCCGGCACTGAAGTGCGCCGGTCGTTCAAGTGAGTCCATGTCACTTGAAGCTGTCAGCGACATAAGATGCTGATGTGGAAACCATCTTCACTGCACAACGACCATAGAAAATATAGTCAGTGTTGATGCGCCCAGCATGATTCGCTTGTTCGGCATTGGATCGTTCGCAGGGACCGCTTTGCTCAGGCGAGAAAAAAGGCGTCAGCGTGCCCTTTTGTGTTGGTAGGATCCAACCCCGTGTTTTGACATATATATGGAAACATGGATAAACATGGCCATTGCCTTCTTCCGTCACCGGCATTGGTGTCATCCACTGGCATTGGTTGCTGGACCAATCGAAGACGTTCGGAGAAAAACGTGCCATCACCGCCAGATACCGCAAGCACTGCCCGTTAGAGACTCGAAAAGGGTTGGATCCATGCTGGACATGAACGAGTTCCTGAGATCATGCCGTGGACCACGCAACCGGCAAAGAGCTCCTTGACTCCACGCCTCTGAGCCCTCCAAATTTTGGACCAACCAATGCAACCCAAAGCACAGTCCAAAGCCAGTGGTCAACATAGAATATATATAATAGAATATATATAGTGATCATCTCTGACAATACCTCTATGGTGGTGGTCGATGTTGATTTTGCGGTGCGGTAAGCAAACGACTTATTGGAAGTTCTGGGTATCTCTCTCTCTCTCTCCATATGTATCATTGGTTTCCCCTCAGGCTTGCAACCGTCTCACACCCGCTTTTTGTGAACCAACCGCAGGTCAGCCGCACTCGCTCACGATCGCTAGGCGATTCCCGCGCTTTGGATCACCAGCTGTTCCATCCGGAGCTCCAGGTGTTCCATCCGGAGCTCCAGGTGTTCCATCCAGGGCTCCAATTATTCCACCGCCACCAGTCCTCCTTACTCCACTCCTTCTTCCATGCATCGCTCGCAGCTTCAGTTGCTGCGTCCATTGCCGCACTTCCCGCGTTGGCCGCGTCGCCCGCCGTCGCAGGGCCTTCCTTTTCCGGCAGTTCCGACGTCGCTGAGACGGCGGAGACGGCTCGGTCGAGACGGCTCAGTCCGCGCTCGAGAGCAGCGCGGAAGAGTTGCTGGTGAGGTCGATCGATGTGATTGTCCTCGAAGAACTGAGCATCCAAGTGAGGTCCGGATTCGTCGTGGAAGAGGTACACGCGTTTGATTTGGCTCAGGGTATCATAGTGCTCCTGGCAGAAGCTCAAGCAATGAGCATCATGTTGCTGCGCTATGTGTTTCTGACTTCCACAGTTATATACTGTTATGCATAGGAACTTATATAGGACTATATAGGGCACATTATCAAACCACCGTCCTGGCAAGGGTCTGAGGACTTGCTGTCATTGCGATAAGGTTTCATCACAATTTGCGGCCTGGCATTCACAAACGACACCCACAGTTCTCCATGACTCCCACAAACATGTTCCAACAGATTTTAGATGTATATTTCTTAATTTTTTAAATTATTGTAATAAAATACTGTATATAATACTGTATATATACCTACCGTAATTAAACCTTCAAAGGCTACATCACACCCTTGAAGACCCCCACCGCCTTCCCCCAAACACACCACTGGAAGAGGGCGGAAAAACCTCACTCCTCCAGTCCTCCAGGATCGGAAAGTATCGATCCTCCAGCGACGCGTCGATGCTCCGCAGCCATTGCCGCAGCTCCTCCGCGTAGGGCTCCTGCATCGCCAGGTCCTTCCGCTCCCTCTCCCCACCCGCGCGCGGCACGCTGGGCGCCTCCACCTGGGAGGCTTCAGCCTCCGGTGGCCGGTCAGCTGGTGTCTCCGGCGTCCACCAGCCGTAGCGTTCGTGCGTTCCAGCCGTTGCGGTCCAATCAGATCCCCAGGAGCTGTAGGACCAGCGCCAGTTCCAGGACATGACGAGGGAATGGGTGCGAATAAGATGATATAAAGACTTGTTCTTTTCGCTCGCTCAGTTTCTAAGGTGAGCTGATCTGAGATTGTGCTGATGTTTGTTTCAAGGGAGCGGAAAAAATCTAGTTTCCTCACTCACTTAGGGACTAAACACCACCCCTTTGTGACTCCTGGTATACTTTCCTAATATGCGCCGGAATCTCCCAAAAGAAGCTGTCTTGCCATTTTCGCAGACCGTGACGGGGGGGTCTTCGTATGTGAACCCTCAAGCTGCTGGTCTATGGCACCTCCAGCTCCTGTTTCAGGAGTGAGTAGGGCCATTCAGTGGAGCTTTTAGCAACCCTTGCAGCATCATGTGCCCTCTACTAAAGCACTTCAAAGTCCTATTTTCTTGGGATCTTCCCCACTTCTGGGTCAGCTTTGGAGTCGTGTGGGATCCGGGACTCCGGAAAGCGACTGTTTACAGGCCGCATTGAGGCTCAATGGCTCAATGGCTCGGTTCATTCCAGTGCAAGCCTACATGGATTCCATGTTTTTGACGACACTGCACATGTTGAATCGATCCATCGACTGTCTCTGAAGGGACTGAAGGGTCCAACAGTCCAGCCGGTGTCGTTCGACACCCTCAAATCCAAACCAGGCAAAGACTGCAGACTCATTGCAGACTCTCAATCCATGACCTCCCTGGCATTTGGATCGTGAAACCTCTTCATATAGGTTTTCAATAGTATACATTCCAAGAACCGGTAATTCCTCAATTCCTCAGAATAAATGCTCTGACCCGGATTTCTGCTTGTCACAGGTCTGCTTCAGGTCAGGTGTCTCTCTCTGGACATCTTCTTAGCATCATGTTTGATTTTTATTGATTTTTGCGAATTCTAAAGGTCGTACGCACGGCATCACAAAGCATGCAAGATCACCCACCTAGCACCCATCACCTATCCAAAGCAATACCCATGTGATCCCGTGTGTCTCATGACGCGCAGCACACAGTATAGCAGCTATTATGACAACTGTTGCGGTGGATCAAAGAAACATTAAGCATGGTCTTTGGTCTGTAACATGCCCAACAATTGTGACGACTGGTTTGGGGATGTGATTTGGGACTTCGCAGAAGCTTTTCCTTCGAACCCCCCTGCCTGCCTGGGTTTGTGACGACTGCATCCACGTGCGATCGGGACTCCCCACAGGAGGTCAGCGACCGCCGCCTCATCGTCATTGTAGAAAGCCACGAGCCTCAGACCCAATCGAGGACTACGGGAGTTCCTGGAACCAGTGGATGGATAGTTGAGCATTGCACCCATGACTAAGAGGACCTGCATACTCATAATGGGCAGAAGTTTCTGCTATACGTTTAGTATGGAGTAACTGACAGGCTACTCCACAGGCAGCCTGCCCTGCGGGAACCCGCCCTGCCCTCGTCGCTTCAGCTGGGCCGCAGCAAGCGTAGCCAACGGCCAAAACGTCCCGCATCGAAGACCTGGTCCCGGTCGCCGCTCGAGCGGAATGGAGGCCTCGCTCTCGGTCGCACACGACTCCCACGGTCTCACAGGCCTCTCGAGGGGATCCCAAGGGAGTCCTACTGGCGCGGAATGAACCCGCCATGGGCGATGTTCCACATGTCTAGGCCCCCTCGGGTCTTTGGGTCAAATCTCAAAGACAAAACAAGACAAGCAGAACGGCAACTCAAGGCTTAACTTAAGCTCTTGACATTAGTGGCGCACTCACACTGGCACACCCTCCGGGAGCAATCGTTCAACCCAGCTCCTACACGTTCAACGCAAACACTTGCAGGATTGGACTATCAAATAGGGAGACATCGGCAGCCTGGTTTCAAGCTGCAGTCTTGGGGGATCTCTTTTCACCCAACAACTGTAGCTGCTAGCTGCTGACAAATGTCACCAACTGTCTGCCTCCTTCGGTGCAGCCTCCTTCGCTGTGCCCTGGAGTCCAAGGCAGCCGAAAAGGCGTCCCAAGGGATGCGACACATCATGATCCCTTACTAACCGAACCCCTGTATTTGTGTTCAGATTCCAAACATTCATCTGTCAAACATTGTTCACAATGATTTCACTACTCTAGTTTCATTCGGAGAGCTCGCAATCTTTCACTCAAAGGGAAATGAAAGTAGGATTGCTCGGAGTCTAAGGCCTTAAATGGCTCTAGAACACTTAGAGATGGAGCCTGGCATTCAGAATCATGTATATAGTCAGTCTAGAATGCTAAGACCCTAAATATCCCTAAATGGCTCTAGACTGCATGTAGGGCCTAATGTAGGTCAGTCATTCATCCCAACCAGGCTTTTCACGCGTGTTCAACATGTCTCGTTGAGCCACGTTGGGTGTTTTTTTCATTCAAAGTTCGGATGAGGCCCTATTCATTTGCCTTCGGAAGACTCAATTCGGTCTTGGGTTGTCTTAGTCCTTAAAGTAAATGACTCTCCTTTGAAAAACACGTGTTCCATGTGGTTTGTTGATGTTTATGGTTGTTCGCGGTGTGAGCCCCGCAAACATATACCACCTGCACCGCTCCGCCTTAGCCCGTGAGCGGCTCGCCATGCTAAGCCATCAGCTCGGTGAACAGTTGCCCCAAACGGTCCTGCTGTCCAGGGACCACCATAAATGGCAAATGCTTCTGTTTATGTTGTGCCATTCCCCTATAGATGCCTCAGTAGCTCCGACCACTCTAGGCAACCTTGAAGAATTCAGGACAGGTTCGAAGGTGATGGGTTCCGATGACAAGCTGGCATGTTCTAGTTCGCTCTTGGCCCAGCCATTGGCCCTGTCCATGTGCAAAATACATCACGGCCCAACCAGGTGGACATGTGGACGCTGAGCACATGTGGGCTACTCTGATAGCAGCTAAGCAGGGCCATGATGTCTGCAAGCTGAGCCGCATAAAACGCATGAAAATGCAGCACACGATGAAGCAAAACAACCAAATAAATGGCTCCATTCGCGTCCATTCCTTAGTTGTTGCTCAGTTGTCGACCACCGTAAGCAGCAGCTTGAAAGAATTGGGAAACAAAGTGCAGCCACGCCTAATGTTGACCTCATAATACTAAATGGCCCGTGAATAGTACTAAATCTTTTCAAAAATCAATATTAAATGGCCCTCAAATAGTACTAAATG